TGGGTGAACAACATGCCAACATGCAAATATCTAGGGTAACACTGCACCTTGAGAATGGCACAACATTCAAAGGAGTAAGGGATATGGTCAAGAGAGTGATGGTTGTTCACGTCCAGTGCAAATAGTACAAAAGCTGCTAAATAGACTATTGAGCTGAGGAGCCCCGAAAAATAACAATATGTCTGTGGGATAACGGGGGAACCGGTTGAATAAGTGACGCAGATGAGGAGAGAGCGGAAGACGTCTAATTCGGCCCTTCCGGCGAGATCGAGATGTACTTGTTGAGATGGGTGAGCTGGCTGAGCACCGCCTTGGTCAGCGGGGTCGACGGGGCCGTGTCCTTGATTTCGGCCGCCATTTGCTCGTGGTCGAACCGGGTGGGCAGGGTGTTCGGAAGGCAGATGAGCACCTGGAAATTAGGGGCATTATAATATTCATTATGCGGACATACACGACACCGAAATTCACCTACCTCGTTGATATCGTCCGTAGAGGTGACCCTGAAGACGTCCGAGTAATAGTGGGCCACTCTGGCCTTGATGTCGTGCGATATGGCTTCATCTCTGGTGACGAGGTTGAGGGCGAGTACGCCTAAAATCAAAGCTATATTTGGAGGTTCGAGTAGTTACCGTTGGGCTTCAGGCAGTTGCGCATGTTCAAAAGGACGTCATCTTCGACGAAAGCGATTGGCGGGCAGGAGAGACCGCTGTCATCCATTGCACCAGCCAAGTCGACGAACAGGATGTCGAGCTTGTTGGCCTCATCTGAATACACGGATATTTATCATAATCAATAATTATAAAAACGTGTCCTCTTAAACCCAGAGGTTTCAAAAAAACTTAAATCCTGGAATCCAGATGAAAATTGATGGTAAAATGGATATATTTTGGACAATTTGAAGAATCTTGAGCACCATAAACTGCTCGAAATTACTAACTGTAAAGTGTTTTTAATCAACTTGGAGTTTCGATTCGGGACCAAGCGCATCTTGTGCAGAATTTTTCGCTGATTCCGAATCTGTTTTCCAAATTTGCTACGGACTTTTATTTAAAAAATCATTTTTGGTAACAATTAGGCCGAAAAATGCCAAAAATTCAGACGCTGGCCCACTATTCCTTGTTTGGGGCTATGGTTCCCAGGGGCCCTGAAGACCCTCTGACACACCCTACCCAGTTGGCACCATGGTGCATTGGAAGTACTCGCTTGCAAGCGCAGGGCGGCGGTTCGAACCCCGCCCTGCATCATTTCTTTGCTTTGCAAAAAATCTCCATTTTGTCAAAATGCTGTTTTGAGCGTAGGATGCTTGTCGAGCGAACGCCTAGTCAATTTTGACGTTGAAATTAATGAGAAGGGAAAACTATAACTATACCTTCATTTTGGTGAAAACTAGGGTCATAATTGCCGTATAACTTTCAGAATAACGGCCCGTAGCAAATTTGGAAAACATATTCGGAATCAGGAATTCTGTACAAGATGACTGTCCCGATCGAAATCCAGTTGGAAAACACTTACAGTAAGAAAAGCATACGATACCTGCAACTGCCGCCTCGTGCAAATAGTCCAACGCATCCATGACGCGCACCTCCAAGCGTGGGTCCTTATGCGGCAGGCCAAAGTGCTCTTTGGCAATCTTGACAACAACCGGATCCAGCTCGATGCTCACGCAGGAAAGCTAAATCAACGTCTAGGGTATACATGGTCGGCCTCCTACCTGTTTAGTATTCTGTATGAGGAACGTGGTCAAAAGACCACCGCCCAGTCCCAGGATGGCCACCTTTAGCTCGGCAGTATCGAGGCGGAGGATCGGCTTTTCGGGGTGGAAGCACAGGGACAGCAACATCAGCTCCTGGTACTCGGCGGCCAGCTCGTCGAAGCTCATCACTCTCTTGCCTTTCTTGGCCGCTAAAATTATATCTACGTAACTCTCCCAAAAAAATCCCGACATATTTCTTTCAGGTTACACAAAAGGCGTACGTTTCATTTTGGCCTCTGTTTGGATAAGATTCTGCGAAGAGCTGAAGACGAGCCGACGCAGCACTTCATCGTTAACGTCGACCTCTTCAACCTGAATTAAAGAATCAAGCACTATCCAAGTAAAGGAACGACTTACACTCCATTCTCCATTGATTTCCGACTTTCCGCTGGCGACGCTCTTCCTGACATCGGTGGCACCCATCGACAGGTATTGGAACTGAAAATAAAATTTTAGAATCAAAACATTTATTCGTAACAATCAAAACCTAAAAGTTTAGCATAAACTAGACCCACCTCGCCGGTCAAATTACCCGGGGCCCAAGTGGTCGCGTAATGGTTCAGTTCCTGCTTCACAGTTTCCATGCACGGATACTCCATGTGACGGTAGAGGTGGACGACGGCCAGACGGTCCGCTTTGCATTGCATCCGCAGCACGCGGCGCCCGCGCTCCGTCCCGAATATCCAGTCACAGTCACTAAAAAAAAGATACAAAAGCTCTTCAAGGGAAGGAACAGGGCAAAAACTGAGTTGCTCCTAAGTACAAAACAAAAACCAACCGCCCGAGGGGTACTATGAATATAGCGTAGCTCTCTAGAGGCCCTTCTTTAGCGTCCTTGTCAACGAGGAACACCTTGTACTTTGGGTTATTCTCGTTGTCGTGCAGAATCACCGACACCTCTTCGGGCAGTTGCCTAGAAAAATTATCAAGTTACGCCGGAAAATTCTCACTGGTGACAATGGAACATGAATTGGCCGAATTCCTGCTGTGCCCGGATCAGCTCGTACAGCTTGCCCACGGAAGGCACGCGATCCATCTTGGCGTCGCTGCTTTTTGAGAATTCTAACGGCATCTCCTGGAGAAAAGATTAAAACTTGACCTAAACAAAAACCAACCATCGGGTGGCGCAACTTTGTTGCGACCAGTACAAACACTGGCATTCGGAATTCGGTGTCGTGGTCCGTCCCCTTGTGCACGCGTAGAAAAAAGCGTGAACTAAAAAAACGATGATACCCCGCAGAGGTGCCTACCGTAGCTGCTCAACCCAAAAATTGATGATGTGCTCCTGCGCCAGCGTGATGATTATGTAGCGGCCGTTAGCGGCAAGAACACTAAACAATATTTACAAGCAATGAGGTAAGTCCTACCGTGCCACTTCGCTAAACATATGGCTGACCACACTTTTGTTCACGTCACTCGGATCCGGGGGTAACAAGGCGTCCAGCGTTCCCTTGTCCACCACTACATTGAAGCTCTCATCTGCGTGTTTGAGCTAAAAATTTTCAAATTCAGGTTGAACGCAGCTCTGACCGCCGTTGCATCGCCTTCCTCAAATACGAGACCGGTTCGTACGCGGTTGCGGAGTTTCTGGTCGCGAATTACGCGGCTATCCGTGTCAATCGAGTGGATATGTTGGTAGCCGTTGTCGTAGAGCTGAACAAGCAATATTACCTCCCGGCAAAATTCCTAGTACCTGCGAGGCCAGCGCTGAATTGCCGCAACCGATTTGCAGTATTTGATCGGAGGGCCGTATGTACTTGTCGAAGACCGTCGAGAGCACTTGATAATCACCGTACCTACAAAACGCCAATTCACTGTAAAACGAAAAATTGGACCAACCATTCAAAGGGGGACTTTCGTTGAGCGAAGAAATTCTTCCAGTAAGTCGGGTCGGTGAAAGCCGAGGCGCCCTCGAGTTTTGACGGCAAAAGCCTCGTCATGGCCCTAAATTCTTATTTTTAAACTCAGACAAAGAGTTTAGGTGCCTCTGACAGTCGAAGCTTTTCAAATAATTTTGGCAAAACGACCGCTCGAAGATAGGCCAATAAATACAACAACATATTTACCCGCATCGTTATATTCAAGGTCAAAGGTACACGATGAAAGGGAAATCGTGGTCGTCTGAGTATCACACACGATACAATGATGTACATCACAAACGTTGCGAAGGGGAATATTTTGCACCGGGGAAAAGTATTCGAGATGCAAGTACCAACAAAAAAGGGAATGAAAGTACCACGAATATGCCAAAACGGCTAGACACCACGTGCAACACGGGGATCTCTAACGCCTTGTCGCTGAGCTTGTGGTGCAGCAGCAGGGTTTGATCGCGATTGGGCCGCCTAAAAAGTATGAACCTGTTTTAAGCACATGACTTACCGCTTGCATAGGTGGTCCTGGTCTTCGTGGATCTCTCAGTTGTTGTTGGGCCGCTGGGTCACCGCGAGGAGGCCTAAAAACCAATTTTCCGCTCACAAAACACGAAACCATACTTTTGATAGGCGGCGTGCGCTTGGTTCGGTTCGCTCATATTCGGCAGCTCGCTGAAGTCCATGTGAAAATAGCTGATCCGCGCCAGCTCGCTCTGTTTCCCGCAATGCACCTTCAGTTGCAACTAAACAGGGTGACCCTAGGGCAATGAAGTGGATATTACCATGAAGACGTTTGTGCTCAAATTTCGAAGTCGAAGGACATCGCCGACGCGGATCACACTGAATAAAAGTTAGCCGAAAGGAAAGATCGCTGCTTACTTGAAATATTCACCGGTAGCAATGTCGAGCATGATGCTACCCGAGGAATCTGCCACTTTCAAGGTGTGTACTTGTTCTCCATGCGCTCGCGTTCGTATAGACCCTGAAAAAAACATGACAAAAACAAAATAAGACAGTGCGAAATTTTAAAATCCTAAAATCCCACCTCTCTCAATTACAATCACGATGAGCGAGAAATTTTTCGATGTCGGGGTAATTGAGCTGATTAGATCTGGCTTTTGCAGTGGCTGTTCCATTAGAGCTGAAAATAGCGGAATAATGACCCGTTCTATATTAAGAACCTGTAGATATCCGTCAAATGGGGCTCTGTTATTAACCGCACAGCAATTCAAGGTCTTGCACACCAAAAACTCTTTATTGACAATAGCCGTAAAACTAGCAGCATACCGAATCACACAATATGAGAAACACCCGCATAGCATATCTTGGGAAAAGCTAAATAGATAAGAATCTAAAAATGGCACCGATGATAGTTATATAACGTCCTCGTCGCTGCTGGACCCGACGTCGAGGAGGACATTTGTGTCTTCCTAAATACAAAATGAATGTTATGAGATGACGATTAACCTTGTCCTTGTTCTTCTTGCTGCTCGTCACATTGAGCTCCCCAGAAGGGTTGTTTCTTCGCGAGAACAAGACTTGAAAATCCTCTTCCTGAACTACTTGTTTTTCAAATTTTTTTGGCATCCTGTCGAAAGTACCTACGCGTTCCGGAGTTCACCCACCTCATCCTCTTCCGCATTGCCAAAGGACAGCGGCCGGTAGCCGCGCGTCGCCTCGGGTCGTGTCCAATTCGGGTCGTTCTTCAGTACCGTGTTCCGGCACATCAACCCGAAGATGAGCAGAACGATGCATAAAGATGGCACCAATATTACCAGGAAGCCAAGCGAGTCCTATAAGAGGATTAAGATTTTTGGAACTCGCATGTACATAGCCATTTTTGGCTGTTTATCGCCTCGTTGCGCATAAATCACGACGTAATCCAAATTCCTACCGTAAACCCAATATAAAACATTGAGTGTCCGATGGGACCGTCGGACGGGAATAGTGGCCGGTCCGTTCCAGAGGTCGTAGCTTCGGCTGCGTTTGCTTGGCTCTTCAGCGCTTTCTTGATAATAGCCAGAGAACCGTTGTTGGGAGCCGGCGTAATCTAATAAAATTATATCAAAAGACATTAATTCACCTTTAATATGCTGCAAATCAGAGGGTAGATATCGATATTTGTGGGGATTTCAGTAATCTAAAAAGCGTAAAGGGCTGCTTCAAGCTTGGCACCATTTTCCTCGACTCGAAAGCAGGCCCACGCATCGCCAGCAGCGCCCTCATTTCCGGGCGCTTGGGGTCCATCCCGTGTGTTGACGAGTGGAACGTCTTTGTACCATTTGGCCCTGGGAATTTGTTGTTCGTAGCAGCGGGCCGCCTACCGTATTCCTTCTCATACTCCTTTTGACTGCATGAGAATGAGAGACCGGATCCGATCTGCAAAAACGATCAGAATTTCCCCCTAAAACTCACCGTTGGATTGATGATAATCTGGCCGACCCTGCTCGAATTTTTGTAGTGCAGATCCGGCGACAAATCCTTCTTCCAAAGCACTTCAATCTTGTAGCCCTCCTCTTTGGCGCGCGTAAGATTCTTGAAGACTTCGTTTGCATGGTCATCATCCTAAATTAAAAAAAACATTAGCTATTTTATCCAAAATACCGTTGGATAAATCATATGGTCACCCATCTCGAAGCCAGTGCCCAGAACATAGTCGCGAATACAAAACACCGATTTATAGCCTTGGATCTAAATTTCAAAATCTTACAAAGTGCAACTTCTTTTTCTACCTGAGCATGTCCGTGATCGGCCGTCAATATAATATTCAGCCGATCCTCCAAGTTGAGCGCTTTTGCTCGATAGATCAAGTAGTCGAACGCTTTATCAACTTGTTGGATCTAAAACCATGGAAGTTCACATGATTTTTCCGTACCGTTTTATTGAATTCACCATTGTAGAAGCCGTTTTCATGAAGCACCGAGTCCGGCTCGGCCAAATAACTAAACAGAATTTATTTGTAGCAAGGTTTCAATAGCCTACAAAGCTCCAAAGTTGACGCCGTAATCGAGAAACTGCTCGAGCATGGTGTCAATATCCTCGATCCACGTCGTCAGATTCCCGCGATGTTTCCACGCTCTGCGCAGAAGATAGTGTTTTCGAGAATTACAACAAACCTAAACCATTTCGGATGATGCGGCGCCATTGGAAAATTAGCTTCTACCATCGGCCAGTCAAGAACGGCGGATTTACGGCTATCACCGGCTTTTTCGTTGGTTAGCCAGACTAAAAAGGATGTGATCACAACAAGAAAAAAAGACCATACTGGGTTCCCCAAGATACCAGCTCGAATCCATCTCTTTGTCGCTTCTCCTACCCGTGTAGTTGAAATAGTCAAATCTGAGAATGTTGTAAAATTTTCAAAAAACGATAGGTAACGCTAACTGTTTGTCATCCTTGTGGTCGAAGAAGAAATTCGACACAATTCCATGGTTTTCCTCATACAGCCCAGTGGCGATACTCATGTGATTCGGTGCCGTAAAGGTGACATACTGACTCTAAAATCGGCATTTTTCGCGTCTAAAAAAGAAGATCGAACCTGTGACCCGTTGACGAACCATACGGCTTCTTTCGCCCACTTGTAGATATTCGGGACCTACAAAAAAATGAAAAATAAAACATGATATGGGAAAACCGTGGTTTCGTTGAGTAGGTCGTGCCGAAAGCCATCGAACGATACAAGCAGCACGAGTGGGTTCACATTTGTGGCCTCCGTCAAACGTCCGAGGAGCAGCAACAGAGCGGCTGCTAGCAGGCCATGCCTTGGCATGTGATGCCTAAAAAGCCCTAGATGAGTAACCGCGGTTGCCGTTAATGTAAGGCCGAAAGAAACCCGGCATTATACTTGTGAAACAAAGTCAGCTCCTTCGCAAAATACTTTAAAAGTGCCCGTACGGTACGCCTATGATTTAAGGAACCTGGAGCTCCACTTCTGGGGGCCAACAATTAGCCTAATCTGTTTACCAGGAATAATGGTTCGTGGGCCCGGATTAATTTAATGGATTCTCCCCGGCGCCGTCCCAATTTTGAATCGTGGAGGCCCGCGCTTCGGGTAATTATTCCCGGCGACGATGGAATGCGAGATGGGGGCAAGGATGGGGGAAAGTGAAAGAGACGGTCGCAGAAGGAGGGAGGCTGTTAGGGGAGAAAGGGGGGAAAAGACCCTGGTCGATTCGGGAGGCCCCGGCGGGCAGAAAAGGGGGCCCTCCACGGCCAGCCAAGCAGACCACACACACAAACACGCATCGCCCCTCCAGTCATATGGGATCTTTTCCACTGGCTGATTCCAAAAGCAAATCGATTCTAAGTGTATTTTTTATTGTTTTATCGCCTCGGTTGAAGTTAATAATTTATGCTTTAATCGAGTAGCCCGAAAAAGACGCCCTCCAAATATTTTTTTGCAAAATTACGTCTAGATAAGTTCATTTTGTTAATTAAGTTAATGGTGACCTTTTCGGCGGGGGTACCCTGCGATTGTGTACCAGTTTGTCAACCCCATTTTGACCGTTAATCGCAAACTCGCTTTGCTTTTTGGATGATTTACCCTTACAGTTACTCTCTTTACGCAAAACAAAATACCGGCAATTGATAACCATTAACTATAAAAGAAATTACTTGTATTTTCAAGCGCTCTCTCAAACCCCGGCCTCTATTTCTTCCCAATAAACTTTTAAAAAAAGCTAGGCTATTTCAGAAGGCGCTGCACGTAAATGGAAAGCGCTTCGGCTTCAGCGGCGCAACGATGAAGCATATTTTTGTGATCGGGCAAGTTATTTGGTTAGCCAACTTTTTGCCCACGGAGCCGGGCGGACGGCGAGCGCATTTGATCAACGCGTCGATAGGTGCCGATCGTACCCGAAAAATTGCAAAGTGAAAAGTTTAGTTGGCGAACGAATAAGCTATTTTGGGGCTAAAAACACTATATTTTCAAAGTGATAAACTCTCTTGTTTCAATCAAAATGATTGAGTCCGATAATCTTTTTTGTACCATAAAAATCGACCAAATCGAAGCATTAAAATCCAGCGTTACTGTAAGGGGTTACGGTAATTGCACATTGAGTGTTCTTTTGAGCCATATTTTAAAAAATACAATTTTTTTCAATGTGATTGGCGGTAGTATATTTTACACAAAAAGGCGGTAAAACCAGATAATTATGTGCCCGCCTGCGCGTAAAAAAAATAGAAAAAGTGAAGCATCTAGGATTAAAATAGCTGTATACAAAAGTTTTCAGGCTTATCTTCTTACCGCTTGTCGTGTCATATCGTAAATGCGATTCCTCCGATTTTCGCTACGAATACACACAGGTGATCCAGGTGGAAAAAGTAAGAAAAATGGCTTTCAGTGTTCGGACCGAGGTGAACGTTGGCGGGTGGCGATCCCGCGCGACGATTCGGATTGCCGAGGCGGCGTGCCCGACCCGGAGAAGGGGCTGAATTGCAGTGAGTTTTCTGGTCTTTTGCAATCCTTAGAAAAAAAGAATGCTTCTGAATATGGCGATTTTCAGCTTTTTCCTGCGGTCCCGGAAGCTATCTGGACTTGGAAACGCAAACGTGTAGGCTCTGCAATGCTGGTAAGTCTTTTCGGGTTTGCTTTATTATGTTTTTAGCTCCAGAGAAGATAGTTGTTATGGAAAAAACATTCATTTAGGTCGCTACTCCCTGGGAGGCGGCATCCGTTTTGAGGAGTTCCAGCGGCTGCCCTCCGGCTTCACCGTCGACAATATCGATTCGATGGCGGATCTGGTGCTCCAAACCAGCACCCAGAGCACCACAATTCAATGCTCGGCCGAGTCCGTTGCTCCAATTTTCGCGTAGACACATTTTTTTAGTCTGGGTTGGCTGGTGAAGGACACGGAGCTCGTATATCTACCATCGCCCTGCGTCTCCAAGCTCTCCTTCACGACGACGCTGGTTAGGCCGGGCTACGTCGAATATGTTTATCGGTCTGGGTTCTTGCTTTTATGTTTATGAGTCGCATTTTAGGATGCCGAAAAATAGCCGTGGGCTCGTGCTGAACGTTGTGGTGAAAAATGAGCAGTGTCAGAGCTACAGGTACCGTTTTCGGCGCTCAGGGTTCAACTGGAAATTTGCAAACCTTGATTTCCGGCATTTTTTTGGTTCCCTTGAACACCTAATCCCTGAAAAAGGCGTGTTTTGGGCCGTTGTAAAGTGTTCCCAGATTAGGGTCATTTTTAGGGGCCGGGGGAGAAGCTTAAAAGCTAGACGTGGGATTAGAGCCCCTTCAAAAGGCTCATGTTTGCAGAGACGACGTGAAATCGATGCTGATGGCGACGGCGCAGCCAAGCGAAGGCCAACAGCACCACGACGACTCGCAGGCAAACGGCGATTGGCAGCGGAAGGTAGCAGGAATTTAGAGAAAGTCAATAGCTCCATTTCAGCGTCTCGACTTGCGCCGTGGCGTTAACGTCATCAGCTGGACGGTGATCAACAACCGCGAGATGTCGCTGCAACGAGAGCCGATTCGCGTGGCACGTATTGACGTCGTCGGTTAGTCAAGTTTTACATGGCAGATTGGATTCGGTTTTAAGGTATTGCGTTCACCAGGGAGTGCCCGTTATGCCCGGAGGGGACATTTTCCAAGGAAGGAGCCTCCGAGTGCCAGCCCTGCGAGCCGGGATGGTTCGCTGGCCGCGGCAGTGCCGAATGCGGGCGTTGCCCAACTTCACAGTACTCTGGTTGGCAGCGCATGATCGGGTGGACGATTGGTTTTACTTTTAGGGTACAAGTCGAGCAAATGCATCGATCGCCCGGCGTGTCAGCCGACTGATTATTACCCCGTGCACGAGCCTTGCACGAATGGCAAGACAAAAGTGACGTATAAGAAGGTGCTGCCGGCGCTGTGTCGAGAGGACCTTCCAGGAGCAGCTCAGGTAAGAGCTTGTTGCAATTGAAGACGTTTCATCCATAAAATAAAACCCAATCCGAAATTTTAATGTTTTTCAGGTTCCCCCGGACGAGCCGGAGAAGCCGTGCCCCCGCTGCAACCCTGGGATGGCCGTGAATGGGAGCGGTACCTGCGTATTTTGCGCCCAGGGCCATTTCTCCGACGGGAATCGTTAGTGGCACGCTTTCTTTCTATACGAAACCGGGTTTAGAGTGCGAAAAATGCCCGACAGCCACAATTCCCGACTACGGCTATCATTACGTGCAGTGGAATTCGCTGCCCCCGGGCATACAGACAAAATGTGAATATGTGTCGGAGGGTGGGTCTTCTTTGCAAACGAAAGCTCATACGAAAATTATTAGTTTTGTATGAAAATCAATCCTAAAAACCAGAAATATTTTTTCTTTTTACGATAAAGATGGTTTGTGGGCATTATTTAGTTTTGAAACTAGATATATCGAAAAATGATGGATAAGTCATACGTTTTTAGGGATACAGAGGGTTTTCCATATATACATACTTTTCAGAAGTGGTTGCAAAATGCGATATCGGCCCGGCATGGCTCCCGGATGGGACGGCCCTTGTCAGCGCGCCCTCGCTGCAGACCGGAATCGCCCTGGAGATGGTGTTGGATGTACCTGAAGGTATGAATTAAAATTTGCTGGCCTCATCATCAGTTCCAGGCTTCACAAACCCGCTTCTTCCCCGAAATGCGTACGCCTCGCTGACGAACCCGGTCGGGCACCTGACCATCGTTTTCGAGAGCCACTGCGCCGACGATTCGTGTGCCCTATATTTCATCGAGGTGGGCTTGAAAGTATTGTTTTGCTGATTTGGTCATTTTTAGGACGCCACGCCCCAGGGTCCGCAGCCATACTTCCGGTTTTTAGCGGCGTTCAGCGGAGGGCAGGCGCGACGCGTATGGACGCATCCGATTGCTAAGAAGATGCCGGGAAGATTTTTGGTGTGTTTTTAGTCTCTCTCTCTCCCTCTCTCTCTCTCCATCTATGTCTGCCATTTCAGGTGGCGTTCATCCGGTCTCGCGCAGCGAGCGGTGAGGATATCATCACAGACCAGGCCAAGATATTCTCGGTCAATGTGACAAACGTTGGTAAGCAATAATAATTTCATACGAATGAATTTAATATACAGAAAGTTTCATCTTAATTTATCAACATATTTCAGGGCACCGTAACGGCGTACAGGGCGGAGGCGCCTCGGAATGTCAGCGCTGCCCGGATTCCGGGAACGGCGACTGTATCCCGTGTCCGAAGGGGCATTATATGGCTCACGAGGTTGGCAAAAGTTTACTGATATTACAGTAAAATAGCGTACGCGCTCCTACAAATTTTTTGCATTCAAAATCATTCTTATTCCCAAATCTTCAGGACCGAAAATGCATCAAATGCCCGGCTGGCACCTATCTGAATGTCTCTTCATCTAGACTGGGCCCCGAGAGCTGCTTGAAGGTTGGAATCAGCGGGTTACTGTAAAAAAAACCCTCCCTTTAGTGCGGGCCAAACTTGGAAAGCGACGGTGACAGCTGCATCTCGAACGGCAAATTTTCGATCAGCCTCGCCGGAAACCGTACGCGCGACTATGATTTGAGCAGCCTGAAAGACAAGTGCGTTTTGCATCAAATGTTGTGCTTTGACTTTTACTAGAGTCTTATTTAATGCGTTTTTCAGGCCCCTGACCGTAGAGGGTGTGAAGGTTTTTGCGCGTGAGGGCACCTCGTATTTCCACACGTTCAACATCTCGCTACTCGGCGGCTATGTGGAGTGCAAAGAGGATTTTGAGCAGCGCGATCAGCTGCTGCTCTACGGCGTGGTACTTTTGACGGGTGGCGGTTTCTGATGCGATTTTTAGAACCATGAGCTGGCCGGGGGAGCGGCTTGTCGGATAACGTCGGTGCCGATTCTGGAAAAGACGAAGAACTCGACGAAGAAGTTTGCGTCTGTATCCCCGCTATTGTAGGGTTTTCACTCAGGTTTTTTTCATCAGCTTTTAGGCTTGGCATTCAACTCGAAGCGATCACGACGGAGAAAGAATGGGATGGCTGGAAGTTGGACGATAAGCTGTTGGATACCGGTGAGTTTTTTTGCAATGATCTAAAGGCAGGAAATTTCAGCCTTCGTCACGAACAGCACGGCCAGCACGCCGGATGTGCATTTCTTCTTCTCATCCCCGCATATCCCTTCCGACGTTTGCCCGCGAGGGTCGGCAATAGCATTGACTGCTCGATGTGATCCGCACCAAGACAAAGCTGAGGTTGGTTTTAAGCGTTTTTCGGTTCCTTCGCGTATCGGGGGTGGAAAACTTTTCCTGCCTCGAAATATTTTTCACAGTTTTTAATAAAAATTGGCGTAGTTTGCGTATGGTAATAGTAAAAAACAGCGTATAAAAATCCTTTATTCATATTAGAAAATTTGGATCCTTAGAAAAACTTGCTCCCCCCAGGATAATACGAAAGGACCGGTTTTGGATACCTCTAGACTATTGAAAGTGTTCGAACCAATATCACCTGAAAATTATGGTATTTTAACAACGTTACGCTCCAAATTCCAGCTGCACCTCCCTCGTGGATGCCCTGATGGTACTTGTGATGGTTGTCTATATCATGCCCTCCTCGAATCTTCTATCGCCTGCCCGCTTTGCCGGCCCACCGATTATACAGTAATCAAGGGCGAATGCATCGATGGCTGGCAAACGGTGCACTCGATTCCGGATAAGTAAGTTATAGGAAGGAGACGGGAGTGCACAGACGTCAACGTCAAATTCCAATCTCGGTACCCTCCCACCCTTTAGACAATGCGTCCTCTCCGGTGCCGCTTCACAAGAGCACCGTCAGCACTGCTCGGTGCTGTCGGCCCACCTAAAGCTGCTGATCTCGGGCGGAACGATGGCGCTGTTGATGCTCGCCCTTATCCTATGCTGGATTTGCCAGAAGAACAGGAGGTACGTACGGTCGTCATACTGAATGGTTTAATTGAATTGAACTAATCTAGTTTTAATCCTAATGTAAAAAGTAAAACGAACAAATTAAAAGCTATTAAATACCATGAATTCAGGCTCGAATACAAATACATGAAATTGGCCGAGTCAAAGGGCGGCGGTTTTGAGTTGCCTATCGCCGAGACGTGCGGTCTGGATTCCGATGAGGAGGACGAGGATGTGAGTATCAGGGTTTCAAAATTCAAAATTACAAAGCTTTTTCCAAGGATCCGTTTTTTTAATAAAAATAGAGGAAGCTTTTACATAAGCATGCCATTTCTGGACTTATAAGGAAAAAATTCGGGCTGGAAAAGCCCCTAAGACTATGCAAAAATTTTTCAGGGTTTGCAACCTCAAATTCCGAAAATCGGCGTGCGCGCACGCTTTATCAAAACAAAAAGAAGCGAAAAACTAAAAAAAACGGAGCTTTTTCAGCAACAACAAGATCGGGTGATCTTCGCGAAGGGGCGCAGCAAATTCTTCGGTGCCAAGAAGGAGCGCACGGCTGCCGGGGGCGCGAGGGCGCCCTTCGTCCAACTGAACGACCAGGACGAGGACGACGATTGATTACGGTGGCCCCGGGGCACCATTTAGGTTTCTCCTCTTTACGCATATCTTCGTTTTGGTACTTGTTTTATAGCGGGGGGAGCAAACTTTTTGTATTATTATCTTTTCCTGAACATGAAAGCTAGAAGTTGCCTTAAAAGCCTAAAGTTTTGGTCGAAAAATCGATTCAATATTAAAATTTTCATAGTTTTTAGTTGAGATATTTTAAGCATTTTTAAAAATTTGTTTAGTAGCACCCTCCCCCCGCTAATACCCAAGTACCGTTTTAAGATTTCCAATTCCGTTTTCTCCTCCCCTGGGTATTTGGATTGTGGTCACTTGTGTGCATTCGTTTTTTTGGGGGTTTGAAGTTGGGGTGGACGAGACAAGTTGGCAGCAACCTTTGAGGAATTTTGAGAAAAGGAAACGCCCCATTTCAAGCCCAGATAATTTTTTTAACTTTTTAACCGTTCCGATTTCCGGTTAATTCTTCCCTCCTTCGAATCGTGTACATATTTCGTCGAAATTGTCCGAGATGCCAAATCATTTTTTTCGACTAGCCCGATGCCCTTTGGAAACTGTGCTGAATAAAGTGTAAGATGCTATTTTATCGGTTAGAAAAAGATCGAGTGGCAGTAGGGAAGATGAAAATGACACGACAGGAATATTGTGGGAAAAGAGAGATAGAAAGCGAGAGCGAAAGAGAGAGAGAGAGAGGGGGGAGAGAGCGAGCGAGAGAGCCAAATTGCTGCCTAGAATTGTTGATCTCATGGTAAAAAGCTGCAAATTCACACTGGAAGACCCTGAGAGTTCAAAAAGAAATGAAGAAAGTCCTAAAAAAAGCCCAAAAAAAATGGATGTACGCTTAATACAGCAAAATTTTTGGAGGCAATGTAAAAATTAAGAAAAACTAAAAAATTCAAGCCGATTACGGCATGAAATTTGGAAAGCGCAGTATATTACAAATTAAGGATTCAAGGGTATAGGTTTTCGAAAGGATTCAGCTTTAAAAGCCACCCTGAAAAGCGAAAAAGATAGGTTCTGGTTCAGTAACGGGATGTGGGGGGTATATTTAGCCCGGAATCTTTCCGGAATTTTCAATTTATTAAGATTTCTTGTGTCTAAAAAATAGTGCATATTTCATTATTAGGAAACTCCGGAAACAGGAAAATTTACCCCTCCCCGCTAACAAACCAATACCAATAGCGCAACGCTCACTCCCAAATAATCAAGATCACTACGAGAAGATACAATATACAAAAGAGCCCGTAGGAGAGACAGACGCCCAGTAGCGCCATCCGCTTCCGGTGCCCAAGTGTGTTGGCGGTGATCTGGCGATGGAGTGGCACCTCCTGGGATACGGTAGATTGGGTCATGGTTTAGGGGGCGATACCTGACCGGGACATCCTCGGATCACGTGGCTCTCCACTTTTTGCTGGGCAAAGTGTTTGCCCGCGAATTTTTGGATGGCCATCATCGCCTTCCGGCCCTGGAGGAGGGGAGAAGCTGCAAAAAAGGTTGTGGGTTTTATGGAAACGGGAAGTGTGTCCTCACTATGGATTCTGTAGCGCGTACCAGAAGCAACGCTTGGGTTCGCGATTGCAACGCGCCGGATATACACGAAACGCGCTAGCGGTGCGCACGCGTTGGCTATCTGGACGCGACACGCAAAGCGCTGGCTATCTAGACGCGCAACGTGCAGGCCAACGGCACGTAACGCGCTGGCCAGCGACGCGTAACGCGCGCTAACACGCCACGCCTTGCGCTCAAAATCCCCACAAATATGGCGGGTGCGCGTATCGCGGGAAACCTTCCCGGCCTTTAAAGGGATAGGGGCGGCATAAGGCAATCGATTACGCGCGGGAAGATCTCTGCGTCTCTCCCCTGCCCTCGCGGTGCATCCGTGAACCCCCTCCCCAGGGGTCAACAGGTGCCTTCCTCGTCTCTTTAAAGGCGGCTAAGTAATGCTACTAACGATAAGGCCCGTCGCAAAATGTTAAAGGATACTGTGGAAAGGGACAGGTTTTAGGAAAAAGCAGTCAGTACACTTTTTTAGTATTAGAAGATGGTAATTTTTGTTAGAAAAAGCCGAAAAACAGACGCCATCCATCGTCCTCCTCGCGGGTCCAACTGATCGGGAAATGGCCCTTCCTGCCGCTCAGCCTATCCGCCACTTCTGCGTCAACGCTCTCCACCGTTGTCGCCTCGCTTTCCGCCCGTGGTGCACGGTGGACTACGGTAGCCCGGGGTGCTGAATAGGGTGCCATGCGGTTAGGAAAGGACAGGATTTTATACAGAATTAACGGGAGCAACGGCCAATTTTTATTTAGATGAAATTACCATCAGGACTCGTTTCCGGAGAGGCCAAATTGGCGGGCCGGCCGTTGACGTCGACGAGTAGCGTGTATTTGACGCGACGGGCCGGTAGCGTGACGTCAACGATTAGCAGAAACACCTGAGAGACATCATACGTTCTTAGGGGGCGACTTTTAAGAAATACCGTATGCAGGAAGGTGGAGCACAACCAGAGATCCTTCATGGTTAGCGTCGGGTAGGAGCGCTGGGAGGAGAGCTGAAAAGAGGATTCACTTTTAATTGGGTACTGGACTGTTAGCGGGGGGGGCTAATTTTATTTTTTCGTCTTTTCGTATCTTTTTAATACTGTTTTAATAGTTTTTTAGTACTTTTCGATTCCCAAGAAAGTTTTAAAAGACGAAGATCTTTTTAGAAACCAGAATAATTTAGTTTTTGACCAATAGGCATACATTTTTAACGAATAAGACCATTTTTCGCTAATTTCACGATTTTTCTGCACTTTTTGGGTTTAGAAAAAAAGTTTACGGCAACTTTTAACCCCCCGCAAACGAAACAGTACTCCCGAAAACCCTCACCAAAATGATGATGCACACCAGCGCGGCGACGGTGACGATCACCTGGATTTTTCGGCGTTTCCATTGGGCAAAAACGACCTGAAAGAGGGGGTACGGTAGTTGATCAACGTTTTAAAAACGTACCACAGCAAAGACGAGGAACGACGGCAGATATACGGAAACGAGGGCCGTGTGCCAGGTTGCGCGAAACCACAGCCTTATCAACGGCACTGGCCATTCCTCTAAAAATCCAATTTTCCCCAAGAACCTCTGCTGGCCCACCAATTTCCAGCCCGACCTGCCGCATCTGGATTCGTGGCCGTGCGTCACGATGGTCGACGACACGGAGCAGTTCATCTGGACGCCGACATGGTCATCTACAAGTCAAGAATCCCCCACCTCCAGCATTTTCAATCGCCAGCTCGCAGTTGAACACCTCGAAGGGGTGGCGCCAAGAGTCGCCCGAGCACGGGATCACCTCTTTCACCCTGACATTTTGAGGTATCCATTAAAGAAGCTCCCCTGAACATACCTATAATAATAATTGAGCTCGCCGGTTTGTGGTGAGAGGTAGTAGTTGATCTTTAGCTGCGTCGGCGGGCTGTAACAAAAGCTTTGGAATAACTTTTTAGAATGTTAAAATACGAAAGTTTGGTCGAAAACCCTTTCTTCTATCATTGCTCATTTGAATCATAATTTTATTTGGATTCTAATGAGCAACAAAATTGCTTTAATAAATAATAAACGGTAAAAGTAACCTTGTGCCGATCCTCGGCTTCCACGGCTCAAACTCGGTGATTTCAAAGCGGTCGTGCAGCTCCCTCAGAATCAGGCGATCATCGACAAATGTGCAGAGGACGAACGCTTCGATGGCTATCGAATTCTAAAATATCGACATTCATTGCGTAATCAGTTCGTACAACGACGCGACCCCGTTCCCCAACAACTTTCGTCACAGAAGAAACGCACTGACCTGTGTTCGGATCGAATTCAAGATGTGCAGCTCGGTATCGATCGAGAAGCGCGTCCCGTTTTCGTCTAAACGAACATAGATAACTTTCACGATTTGCTATCATATGTCGCAAATGAAATCGGATGTGGTTTGATAATGCCGACATTTTTGCATAGGATTAAGGGGTTTCCAGGACATTTTATGTAATTTCGACCTGGTGATTTTCGACATTTCGACATTTTGAAAGAAACCCCGGTTTCACTACTATAAATGGTACCGGAAATGTAGTTGTCGCGCGAGACGGGCCGCACCGACGCGAAGTAGTACTTGAACTTCCGGGCAAGCTCATTCCGCTCCAGGAGGGTCAGACTGAAAATGAAAGAGTACGATTTTGTGATTAGGCTGTCAGGAAGCCAATAATGATAGGCGTCTTGAGCCTATTTGCTACCTGTTCACGACGTGAAGCCATGAAGCGAGAAGCAGGAGAAGGTGCGGGCGCATCGTCGTCGGACATCCCTCACTACGGCCACATCATAGTAGAGCGGCAGGGATGGGGGTTCTGGAATTGAGGTCTTAACGAGGAATAGATGGTAAGTTACAATATTAGGAAGAGAACGAGAAAGAGGGAGAGAGAGAGAGAGAAGGAAAGTGAGTGAGAGAGGGAGAGAGAGAAGTGAGAGAGAGAGAGTGGAAGAAAGAGAGAGCGAGAGAGAGAGACAGCGAGAGAGAGAGAGAGAGTGAGAGAGAGAGTGAGAGACAGGCAGAGCTTTTAAAAACAATTTTGAAAAGAACAAATTTGTTTTGTTTGCCCATGTTCCGTATACTTTTTCAACTTAAAATTTTTCGGAAACTTTTTCTAGCTAAAGAGAGTGCTCCTTAAATGCTCCTTAAATGCCTTCTATTTTGTTAAAGGCCCAGGGCATCGGAATCATACCCCCGATAGCGAACAAGCACCAAAAAGGGCAGAGTGAGAGAGAGCCGAGAAAGAGCAAAGCACCCCAAAAACAAGGGCCCAGATTGGCCACAGTGATAAGCCGAGGGGGGCCGTCAAAAATATGAGGGTGGTGCCCAGGCGCCCAAACAAAACGGCGTTTTTAGGGCCAAAGATGAGAGGAGGGAGGGGGTGGAGGGCCGAACGGCTGATGGGGAGGATCGCTTTACAGGAGCACAACGAAACAATGGATTTTCGGGGTGAGTCAATGGGTCAAAGAAAACTTGAGAAAAAGAAGGATTTTTGGAGTTCAAAGTTTCGATTTTTCAAGGATTTTTTATAAGGTTCTAGCACTAAAAAACCCCCAAAAAAAACAAAAAAAACACATATTTTAAAAAAAATTTTAGGGGGGGGGGGGGGGGGGGGGTTTTTTTAAAAAAAAAAAAAAAAAAAAAAGATCTAAAGCACGAACTTCAGCACCTTAAAACCATTTTTTAGATTGTTAAATGGTTTTCCTAGTTCAATTATGGTTAAATTATACTACAAATTACCACAAATATTTCCCATTAAGTTACTTGGCCTCTCTAGAATTAAAAATTTCTGTCCCCCCCCCCCCCCGATAACGGGAAAGAACCGCGAATTGTGAAACACAAAGCGCAGGGCTCAAAACTGGCGAAGCAACCGGCAAAACGTCAGGTGCCTTAATCCCAGGATAAACCGGCGATTACGCGAAACTTGTCTAGAGGGTCGGGGGAGACATCCCAAAACGGGCGATGGGGGCAGAAATGCGAGATGACAATTATTCTGCTGCTCCCCCTCCCGGGCCATCGAGACATCGGAAATCCGAGCACCATCTCGAAGCCCAGCTGAAATTCAAAAAAGCAGCCCAATAAAACGAAAATAGCACCGGCAATTTGAGAATATCTGGGGGCCGTTCGTACGTTTTTTCGGGGCTTCATTTAGTTGAAAAAACTTTTTCGTTACGATCCAGTTTTTCTAATACTTAAAAAGGCTTCTACAAAGTTTTTCAACCCCAAAAAAAACTCTGGCCAAATTAGCTTCCGGCGAACGCGAGAGAGAGAGAGCGCGCGAGAGAGAGCGAGAAAGAGAGAGAGTGAGCGAGCGAGAGAGAGCGAGAGAGAGAGAGCGAGAGAGAGCGAGAGAGAGACAGCTGGTGAGAGAATGTCGGCACCCAGTTCCGGGATTGCCCAAAAAATTTCTTGTGAAAAATGGAGTCATGGAAGTAGTATGCAGATAGCTAGGTAGAAAGTGCGGTTTGAAAGGGCGACGGGGATTGTCGGTTCCGCACGGATGACCGCCGAAAAACAATGCCAATTACGGGACGAGCCGTACGCGCGCACTTTTCCCGCCCGCCCTGCCATATCACTTTCCGGAGATTCCCGCTTATCCACCCGGAAATCAGTGAAATAATTAGGGGCGTTTTACTCGTCAATACCCAAATTTAAAAAATTCGGTTTATAGTTTGGCTTAAAAAACCAAATTTTTGCCTTCAGTCCTAATAAAAAAACCCAATAAAATTTGGCTACAAGATTACTGTATTTTTAGAATTATGGGGAAACCCCCGGTAATCGAAAAGATCCGGGATGAATTGGGAAAGCGGCAAAATCCCGACAACGAAAATATCGACAGCCATATTCTCGACAGATTTGAATCCCTACAGCCAAAATACCGACAGTCAAAATCCCGACACTCATATTCTTAACAACCAAAATCCCGATATCCAAATTCCCGACAGCCGAAATCCCGATTTTGGGTTGTCGGGATTTTGCCTCTCGGTGAGAGAGAGAGAGCGAGAGAGAGCGAGAGAGAGCGCGAGAGAGAGAGAGACAGAGAGACGGAGAGAGCGAGAGACAGAGAGAGATGGACGAGAGAGAGAGCGAGTTCGGCGGCCAGAATTCGAAGCGGCAAAAATTTTCGAGGACACCATTGCAACTGGCACACGATATTTGCCTAAATATGGTAGAAAGCGGCTGGGCGGCGAGAAGGAGTGGGGCGCGGGGTGCCCTCCTGTAAAAAGGGTGTCGAGTGGAGCACGCGGAATTTTTAGGGGACTGGTTACTCGCGGAAGGGTGCATAGGGGATTCATGCTATATAATGCATACGATGCTGCCCGGAATAATTTTGTTTTCGGGAGGATGCTCCTTATGGGTGGAAGGGATGGGTGGGGGGGTGTCAAGTGGTGGGTGATGCAGCCAAGTGGATAGATCTCGTAATGGTGTAAGCGGTGGGAGTTGTCAAGTGGAAAATTGGGGAATTCTGGTCGGGATTATTCGACGAGTGGTGAAACAAAAATTGTAAAGTTGTATGTGAAATGGCAGTTTAACTCTATTTTTCTGAAAATTTTGATTTCGAGGGTTTCTACAGAATAATTTGCTAGAAAGAGAGAGAGAGAGAGATATAGGGCGAGAGCGAGAGAGAGAGAGAGAGAGAGAGAGAGAGAGCTTGAGAGTAGAGAGAGCGCAGGAGAGGGAGAGCTTGGGAGAGTAGAGAGAGAGAGAGAACGAGAGAGATAGAACTTGAAAGCGAAAGAGAGAAAGAGAGAGAGAGCTTGAGAGAGGTAGAGAGAGCAAGAGTGAGAGAGAAAGAGCTTGAAAGCGAGAGAGAGATATTGTGATTGAATCAATAAAAATCAACCTGAAATTTCTAACTTTAATCAAAGGATAGTTGAATAGAGCCTTCTGAAGATTTTTCGGTGCTTGTCGTTTAGCGGGGGGGGGGCTCTTAATATTATATAGTCCATTTATAGCGTTTCTACTAGTTTTTGATTGCTAGGAAATCCAAAACTTTAGCGTTGAATCATCCTTCACCCATTTTTTAAAAAACCTAAAAAAACGGCGAAATTTTTTGATGTGGTTTTATATTTAAATTGTACTTAAAAGATATCAATTATAAACAGCGCCTTTTGCTGCAAACAAAAGAAAATCTCCAAAAAATCCCCAGAAATGATGAGATTTCCACAAACATAACAAAGGGAACGGCTTAAAATAAGCATAACCACGGGCTATTTGTTGCCCCATCCATCGTTCCCCTAAACGACACTGGCCAAAAGACGACGCCGGTCATTATGGAAATTGGGAGCGCATTTTATGGCCCTGCACCCCCCGGGGGCGAGACGCATAACCGGCCATTTCAACCCCCGGCGCGGCGCCTTGGGGGCGGATTTCGGTGGCTGAAGAAGGGTGTCTACTGGACTGTATCGTAGTGCTGTATCTTTTTCGTATAGCTGCTAGCTTTTTTTTGGCAAAAAACGAGCTTTTTGGGGGGCATCACCGCCCCGGGGAATTGCATTGAAAATTCGATTGGGACCCAAGTTGGGTCATAAAATTTGCCGGCCCGGATGGAGCGTTCTTATATGCGCAGGGTTATTTTCCCTAACGCCGAAATTAAAAATGCCGAAATTTTCATCAGTGAATCTCCAGGAAAACCCCGAAACCTATCCAAAAAAATTGCCATAACTAATTGTCGGTATTATGGAATTTCGACACGTTTTCTCAAAAAATTCGGCGGAAAATAGTCGCGTCACGGAACTTTAGGGTGCGTCTTTTGGCGTGTAGCGTAGCCGCAGACACCCATCGGACCGCAAGGGTTGATCTAAGCACTTCCTATTCCCTTTAAAGGAGCAATCGGCTCACATAAAATCGTGGTAAGCACAAAAATGCCGACAACGAGCAAAAGCGATGCGAGGGTTGCCGGCGGTACTGCTATTTTCGGAAATGAGGCGAAAAAGGGCGTTAAATGAAGGTAGCGGAACGTAAAAACGGAATTTTATGAGAGAAGCGACGGTTTTTCCCGATTTGGCACCTCCCCCGTTAATGGGATGGCATTAGTCGTGGCCCGGACTGCCCGAGCGCGTCCCATATTTGATGGTTGAAACGGGAGGCATGGCACACCGGGGGGAAATGTTTGTCCAATTCAGGGCCGAATCGAGGGGGCTGTGTAGTACCTTCGTATTTGGCCTTGTCTCCACCGGGAGTGCTACCAAAAAAAAGAGTCATTTGCCCGTATTGAACATTTGTCCTTTCTCCGCGATCCGTATAAACCCGAAATTGGACGAGGGTCAGCGGGTAGGCAGAGTGAAACTGAGAACGGTTTTGGAATTGCTTGCTAAATGGCACTTTGTAGGGAGAGAGGGAGAGAGAGAGAGAGAAACAGAGAGAGACAGAGAGAGAGAGAGAGAGAGAGAGAGAGAGATAAGAGAGAAAAGGTGAGAGTAGCGAGGGAGAGAGAAAAAAGGGAGAGATAGAGAGAGAGAGAGAGAGAGAGAGAGAGAGAGAGAGTGAGAGAGGGGGGAGACCGAGGGAGGTAGATGGATAGATAGATAGATAGCGAGAGAGCGAGAGCGAGGGCGAGGGAGAAGTTAGATACATGAGTCAAGATAGACACAGAGAGACAGCGAGAGAGAGCGCGAGAGAGTGAGAGAGGGAGAGAAAGAGAGAAAAGAGAATGAACGCAAAACTATAAATAGTACTCCTAGACCAAAAACGCCGAAAATCTAACTGATGAAATCTTTTCTTCAGTTTCTTCAGTTCAAAAAACTTCTATTCAATAATTTATAAATCAACAGATAATTTAATCATGACCAGGGTTGAAAAGCCGCTTCGCGTCTTCTCAACCCTGGCCCCCGTCTAGCGTCATAATATGCTTCATTTTGCATAATTCTGGCGAATTCCGATGACAAAAATGAAAATCTCTCCCTCCGGCCATTATATAGGCTCGCGCCATTTCCGGCATATGCCAATTGAAAAAAAAAAAAAAAAAAAAAAAAAAAAAAAAAAAAAAAAAAAAAAAAAAAAAAAAAAAAAAAAAAAAAAAAAAAAAAAAAAAAAAAAAAAAAAAAAAAAAAAAAAAAAAAAAAAAAAAATTCCTAACAAAGTGAGTACTCCATTTTCCAACAAAAATTTAATTTTAACGTCGAAAACAGTATAATTTGCAAAATCTGGTGTGTGTGCAGTCATCTCAGTGCCATTACGCACCTAATGACGTATCATACGTTGCTTAAGACCCTTCCCCTCTCGAGATATCCTCCGGACACCCTGACGGAAGTTGCATGCAAAGTGGCACACACACACAAACACACAGACACTATTTTTTTATATATAGTAGGATTTTTAATTTAACTATTTCTATTATTCTAGCACACAATCTGCCAAAGCAACCCTGAAAAACCCTGTAAAATAAAGTGCCTCCAACCCACCATATTTCGCGCATTTCTGCCGCCCCGTGCAATGTTGCTTTGTGCTTTTTGTCGCGCTCGTCGGCCCAGTGCCTATGGTACGGTAATTGGGGCCGCTTCCACATGAGTCGGAATCGCTTTGTAGGGCGAGCTGTGCTGGGGAGAATCCCTCCAACGCATCTCCCATAATTATGCCATGCCAGACAGAATTCTGGCGCTCACGAAAAAAGGGGAGGCCCGCCAAAGGGGGAGCTTGCTTAGAAAACTGGTAAGGAGATTTTCCGATGACAAAAATTATGGTGTTTTTGCATTATCGGGGGTATGAGGGGCCAAATCAATTTAAAAAAGAGTAATATAGAAAGAATAAAATAGCTACAAAAATAGTTCGTAAATCTATCATAAAAAATACAAAACTATCGATTATTAGAACCAAAAACAGTGGATTTTCGAGCAAAATTTGAATGTTTAGATATTTTTCGCGCTTTTAAAAGCTTTTGCACTTTCAATATGCCTATATTTTACTTAAAATCGCTATTAAAACACGTTCTATTAAGCTACTCGCCATGGCTGTACTTATACAAAAAAAAAATCCGGCCCCCTGATAATGGCAAAGCACCAGATGTAATGAATGGACCGTTTGTGTCAGTTCCGACGTCATTTCGAGGTATTTATTACACAAAAGAAACCCGTAAATACAAAAAAATCGAGTAATAAGCAAAAAACGAGCATTCATCAATTCTTCAAAGGCGAGCAGCAAATAGGGCGCGGTAGTCGGCGAAGATTAGTTCCCAGCGGCATGGACTCCCGAGAACCGCCCGATAGAAGAGCCGGCTGATTTTAAATTTAAAAATTGTTAAGAGTATTATATAGACTTTTCGATACCAAGCATTGACTATATTAATAATCTAGCTAATCAACGCCCCAGAGCGTCGCCGCCGCACCTCGGCTTTCAGGTGTACTCTCTACGAACCATTTAGCAATTCAAAACGCGGACAGCCGTTTCAGTTAGGTCTTTTGCTAAGCTCTTCGGTTTCTTCAAGTTACTTTGCAGGCAGAATCGATTGATGCGCTCGTTAAAAGAATCTTTATTCGTCTAAATCCTCATCGAGCCTTTGTTGAATGTTTTTATAAAGAGCACATATAGATAGGCATAAAAGTACATAAGCCGGCAACCACCCACGGCCCATAACTCTCCAGTTGTCGCTTCAAGCGACCGGTGTAAAGATCCCAGGCATCCGAAAGGAGTTTCTTGTCTCCCGGGCCGAGGTTATGGTAGAGGAGCACTGAAAATAGATAGCTTTCTAAAGTGGCGGTGAGTGGCGGACCCTTGAGCCCGTTTGTCGAACCGCACAACTTAACAAACCCAAAGCACCGACGACCCAGAAAGCATGATGACAAAAGCAGACGGAAAGCCGAAGGAAGCAGGGCGTAGAACACTGAAAGAGGGGTTTTAGTTAAGGGCTGGGGACATTGCTTATCCACTAAAGGTTAGCTGACAGAAGTTTGTTAAACATGGTGCAACACTCCAGAATTTGCGCAAAATATCTCAACCAATTCACTCTACTGTAACTTGATTCACTAGTGTTTGCCTCCATGTGAAACTTGAAAAGGTATGTCCGTTTTCTCGCCCAGCAGACCGAATTTCGGGCTTTTTTGACGTAGGTGAGGAAACACCTTCGTGAAAAGGATTTTTTTTGTTCTAAGCAATTCGATTCATTTAACGATTATGCAAGGGTTTGAGACGGGTCCAGTGGCAAAGGGTGGCGCAGCGGTCTCTTCCGCTGTTAAATAAATAGGGAGAAAGCCCAAGCTTCTTTCTTACGGTCTCCGGGCGAAAATAATCGAGAAAGCAAAACATAGCGATGTACATAACGCAGGTCCACATGAGGCACACAGCGATATCGAGCAGCTCAGCTTTCGTCGGTAGGCCCCCATTCTGAAGGTCAATCGTTTGTGGGAAGGGCAATCTTTTGAGGACCGGGCCATGGATCCAACCTGCTCGTGAGTTGGGACCATGCGAGGCATGGCTACGTCCGCATAACGTAACTTCGCCATCTCCAATTTCATCTGGGATATCTGACGTTCTTTGGCTTCAAGTCGGCTCTGTAAAGATCCGTGAAGGAGGTTAGCAGAGATTATTTAAACAGCGGTGACCGGTAGAGATTCTTGAAATGTGCATATTCAGGGAGTTGGCCGTATATATTGAAATTTGGGTGCCCCGAAATCTTGGCTGTCGTACGGGCTTGCATTTGTCCATAGCAATACATCTATACATCCAACTCTTTGAGCTTACGCTTTAGGGGAAAATTAAATATTCTTACTTCGGTTTCTTTCATCTTTCTCCGCTCTTCGTCCAAACGTTCCCTGATCGATCGAGATGTCGATTTGGCTATTCATTTCACGCAAAAAAATGTTTTATGGTACCTTTTGCCGAATCCGCATCATCGCTGCTATCACAGAATGCAGATTGAGCGTCGTCCACATGCATCGTTGCTTAATTTTGGGATCCCATCTCCTGTCGTGAAGGAGCGTTAATAGCGTCAAGAACTATGTTAATAGCCCGGGCGAAATCCATTAGTCATAAAACCATTAGTCATAACCCCATTAGTCATAAAACCATTAGTCATAAACCCATTAGTCATAAATTCCATTAGTCATAAACCCATTAGTCATAAATTCCATTAGTCATAAACTCATTAGTCATAAATTCCATTAGTCATAAACTCATTAGTCATAAATTCCATTAGTCATAAACTCATTAGTCATAAATTCCATTAGTCATAAATTCAATAGTCATAAATTTTATTAACCGTAGATTTTGAGGTTTGAGTGTTGAGTTTTGAGTTTTGAGTTTCGAGGTTTGAGGTTAGAGGTTTTGAGGTGTATGTGATGGTCCTTGTCGTGTTCTCGAATCAAACTCCTTGGTTGCACGTGATCGGATATCATTAAACCTATTAATTTTGGATTTGTTAACGGGATTATATCAGAGAATAACATTTCCAAGCAATCAGTTTCATAACATTTATGACTATTGGAATTTATGACTATTGAATTTATGACTATTGGATTTATGACTAATGGGTTTATGACTAATGGAATTTATGACTAATGGGTTTATGACTAATGGAATTTATGACTAATGGTTTTATGACTAATGGGTTTATGACTAATGGTTTTATGACTAATGGGGCGAAATCTAATAGCCCTTTATAATGCATCATAAGAACGGCTACTTTAGAAAAAAGATCCTTGGTGAGGAATCGATAAGACAACAATAAAAAACACACCTTCGGCCACAGGTACTTCTACTCAGGTGCTAGAGAGAGAGACGCTGAACACGCCCGGGAAGAGCAGAATTCTAGCAGGTTGGCGAAAATTCTTTCGACAGGGCGGGCCTCGACCAAATTGGGTTGACGTGCGTACGAAATGATAATACCGGCCATCTGCCTCGAGTGATCTTCCCGCGCGTGTTCAGCGTCTCTCTCTCTCTCTCTCTCTCTCTCTCTCTCTAAATGCATAGATTATGGCCAGGATTTCTATTTATTATTTACTATATTATTTTTTTACTATATTATTTTATCTACTATATTATTTTATATATTATTCTCCTGGCCAGGAAAATCCTGACCATAATCTCTGCGCCCAACCTGCTAGCCTCCCGTTTTCTAAGAATATCTGCTAGCCCGCCGTTTTCCAATTAATTGCTGCTAGTTTGTTTGTCTTTTTCGGCGTCCCTCGATTGTCATTTCAAAACGTCGAAAATGCCAAAATTCGGTCCACCCTCTCATTTTCTCAGTGCCCTCTGCAGTCCACCCCTGTCCTGAAGAATCTTTGCGAGCCGGCTAGATGCGAGTAACCCTTTCCTTGTTAGATGCTGGAGTGGGCCAGGTGGGTGATCCCCCTCAGCTCGTTGTACTTCTGCTATTGGTTCGCCGTCACCAGTCACATCCAATGCGATCACGTAAATATTTATGCCAATCCGAAGCTTAAAGCGGCTCTGGCAGCACACCGATTACGGCATTTTGGGGACCGGGCAGAGACGCAGAGTTCTGTCTGCGTCTCTCCTCTGGGGGCGCTCTTTCTCTCCCTGCCGCGACGCATCCGACCGCGACGCTTCCACGAATCGTGGAAAAACGAGCCTGCTGCCAGAGCCCCTTTAAGCCTGAGCTTGCGCTTAAAGCACGTATCCCCATTTTCAGCACGCTCCAATCCCGGCGGTCAACGGGCGACCGGCAGGCCATCCTATCCTTGAGCGAGTTTTGACCATTTTCAGGTCAATTCATGCGCCAGTCTTCCAACTTATTGGTTCTTCATGCTAATATTCGCCGCCAGCTGCTTTGCAGGTACGTCATCCCCGGATGGAAAATATTAATGTGTTTTCACCTCTTTGTATTTCCTTTCAGTTCCGTGGTACATCTTCAGCTTCACCCCGCTAGAACAGACGCTTTTTGATCGCGCCTTTTGGATGATTCACGCGCGGATTCAAGAACGAGCGCGTGAGCACTGGCTGAAGCTGGTGGGCGCTTTTTTCCTGTATTACTTCCTCTATTCCTCCCATATGGGTTATATAAACACGAGGTGAAACAGTTAATATCACTCTCTCTCTCTCTCTCTCTCTCTCTCTCTCTCGCTCTCTCTCCTTTTGTCTGGATTTGCCATTTTCCTCTGGAATATCTTACTGTAAAGTGTTTTTACTCAGGCTGGCGTTTTGGAATGGGACCAAAACTATCTTGTTCAGAATTTTTTGCTGATTCCGAATCCGTTTTCCAAATTTGCTGCGGACTTCGCGTTGAAAAGTCATTCGAGGTCGAAATTAAGCTTAAAAACGGTATAAATTCGGAGGCTGGCCCACTATTCCCTGCCTGGGTCCAGGTATTGTTGTGCCCCTTATCTACCCTCCCGAAGCCCACTTCCCGGTTGGCACCATGGTGCATCGGTAGGCTGTTCGCTTGCCAGGCACAGGGCGGCGGTTCGATCCCCGCCCTGCAAAATTCCTTTTGCTTTTTGCACAAAAACACATGATTTTTTGCATAAAATCGTGCTTTGACCTCTAAAACCATTACCGAGCCAGTTTTAACGTCAGAGGTGACGACAACTTAAAAAATAACGCAAAAAATCCAGATTTAGTCAATTTTTTTAACCTAAATGTCGAATAACTTTTTAAATAAAGGTCGGCAGCAAATTTGGAAACCAGATTCGAAATCAGCGAAAAATTCTGCACAAGATCGTTTTGGTCCCCTTCTAAAACGCCAGCCTGAGTAAAAACACTTTACAGTTAGACGTGACATGGCACATATCTTTCGAAATTTTTCTTGTCTTGTATTTTTATAACTATTTTTACCGTGTTCTTTGGATGAAGATAGTTGTATCTTCTCAATACCGGCCACCCATCCGCCGCGAGTGCTACCTGTTCCCTAAATGTTGCCCCAGTGTTGCCATAAATAATTTTTGCAAATTTATTACGCGCAAAAGATGTGAAAGGCCTCGCTGTTTCTACTATTAATAGAGTTTCAAATAGTCTCTTCGGATCATAAAATAAAAAACGACAAGTATAACCGCTCCGGGAAGTATTATGATTATCAGTATGCCTAGGAATGCGCGAACCAAGATATCGAGCCCATCAGAAAGAAGCTTCTTGTCATCGGGGCTGAGGTTACGTTACGGTAGAAGATCACTAAAAAAGGATTTTCCAGGAGGCCAACTGGTAAAACGCCTATCTCATTGACTCTCTCTCTCTCCCTCTCCCTGTGTCTGTGTCTCTCATTCCCCGCTGCTTACTATTATGTACCTAAATATAACCTTTTTATTTTGAAGTATTTATTACACAAAGACACCCGTAAATACAAAAAATCGAGTAATATGCAAAAAATTTTCTATTCGATTTCAAATTCCTCAATTCTTCAAAGACGAGCAGCAAATAGGGCGCGGTAGGCGGCGAGAATCGGGTCGTCGCGCGACGGCAATTCGAACGTCAGCTAAAACGCGGAGATACATGGTGAACAAGGCGGTTCTGGTTTGTTAGCGGTGGGGGATTTCTTTTGCATTATCGGGGGGTGGGAAGGGGTGGGTTATCGGCGCGGCCGAAAATTCTTTTATGAGTCTAGAAATGTCTAATAACTTAATAGGAAGTGTTTTGTTCTTCCTTTTGCCAAAAATCTGTAGTTTTTCCAAACCGTAATCAGAAAAATGGCAATCAAAAACCACTAAAACCCGGTTCTGGACCAATTTTTCCCCTGTGCTTGTCTACGGCCCTACAACTAAACACAAACCATTACCATAGCGCTTTCAATAGTTTTTAGAAATAAAAACCATGCAAAAATAATACAAATTTTCGAACAATTTTCAATTTGTGGCCAAAAATGTATGAAAAATGACGAAAAACGTCAAATTTTCGAATTTTCAACGTTTTTAAAAAGTATTTTTGATGACTTTCCAGCAGTGAAAATCTACTAAAAACACTATCAAAATTGATTATATATCATCAACAGGCAAAACAGAAAGTGGTTTTTCCCGCTGCTAACCCTCCCCCTGCTAACAGTCCAGAACCAAAAACCCTGCAAAAATATGCCGTCATTTCTTATAATAATTTATTACAATAGGCTGAAGCAAAAAAGTCAGTTTTCCAGTTATTCAACCTCCTTCCCTCCCCGCTAACGAACCAGAAACGCGGAGAAATCGACATTTCCAAGATTTCACAAATGACCCACCTTGTACGCCTTGTGGTAGGGGCCCCAATCGAACTGCGGGCACAGCTGAAGAAGGTTGTGTAAATTAAAACTGTGAACATTAAATTCGCATGCAAAAAGTTTCAGGGTCTTATTGATTTTTACCAAAACTATTTTACATAGCATGATTTTGCGCTAAAATAAAAAATCTTACGGTATTTTTTTTGACGCGCTATCGAATGTAAAAACTTATTGTATCATATATTGAAATGAAATTTATTCAATCGCGCAAAAAATAGCGCAATATCGCAAAAAATTTGGGCTAACTGCTATTGTAAATAAATGCTAATAAATAATACCAGACGATCGATGGCACGCTCGCGCATCGGGACCGTGTCCGGCGGGTACACCTTCGCCCGCTCTTCCAGTGCAATCGCCAAGCACTCCTTTTGCGTCAGGTCCTAAAAAGAAACCTAATATTTTCCATGATTACGGTTTCGCTATCTCGTTACTTATGGCTAAACAGAGGAGCTACCCCGCCGTTCTCCCCGGAAACGAAAAGACCCGAATTTACCTCATGATACGGGACCTCGTCGAGGACGAATCCCTCGCATTCCGGCTGAGTTCGATGCCTGAAAATCGGCATAATTCTGCCCGCGAAAATCCAATCCAAATGCCGCAGAGAAATATGTAAAATCTTCGGCGCTGGACTGTCAACGGGGGGTCAGCGGACGGAGTAGATCTTACTTCGCCCCCTTACCTCACTTCCACTGATCTATAGCGTATTTTGCAATGTTTTTATCTGTTTTTTTATTGGCAAGAAATCGTAATAAGTTTAAATTTGCTAACTTTAAAATACTTACGTTTTTCGGCCTAAAAGGCAAAAATCCTCCATGGTTTTCCTAGTTATTATGTGAGGGTTTCATAGCTAAAAACGGCGCAGTGCTATTACAGTACAGTCCCCCGCAAACATTCCAGCCCGAAATCGAGATCTTGCCGACCTTCTCAAGTTGTAGTCGCAGCCGATGAGGAAGATGCTCTCCCGTCGCACGCCAATCAGAAGACCTTCGCGGCTCTGCAAATAATCAAATTTTATTTTTTTCTTAAATTCACATATATACAAAAATTTATTATACTAACTGAACCCACCAATGGCCCCCGGCGGATGAGCCAAAACGGCTCGGTCGACTTTGCCCAGTCGATGCAGTATGGGTCGGTCTTGCCCTCGGCCAGCTTGGCGGCGATGCGGCAGATTTCTGAATGGTAGTATATTTGAAAATGGTAAACACCAATCCTTTCCCCCGTGAGATGAGGGGTTCTGTACTGTTAGCGGGGGGAACCAAATTTTCCGTGTGATTCTCTACGGCTATTCTAAAAATATCAACCATTTTTATAGCATTTTACATAGATTTTAGGTTAAAAAATACAAAAATAATAACAATTGTCGAAAATCTATGAGTTTTTGTACAAAATGTAGAAAAAATGAACAAAAATGGCCGAAATTTTGAAATTTTGAAAAATTTAAATATTTTTTTCTAACTTTCTAGCAATCAAGGTTCTCAAGGTACGTAATCAAGTGTTAAGTGTCAAGTGGTAATCAAGGACCGAGGTACGGTTCTCATCATCCGCAAGTCGGAACCGGATCATCACATTCTGTGGATGGTATCGTATTCGATATACACCATACCGTTCTGATCCGGTTCTTCTTAGCATAACCCAACTAACATTATAACTCATCACATTATGTGGAACGCGAGTAGCCGTTCTGTTCAATGAACAGACAGTTGTTTTGACCACATTGGGTTGCAAGTTGGGTTATGTTCTCGTCTTCACATAACCGGACCACTACCGTATATTGGCTGGATATCGTATTGTTCGTATAACGGCATGGTGTACATTGAATATGAGACCAGCAACATATTGTGATGATCCGATTCCTTTCCCCTGATTATGAGAACCATACAGTGGTGGTCCGGCTCTTCGTTGAAATCGTATAACCCAACTAAATTATGGCATAACCAAACGCCTACTGTAGCTCGTGATATGGATGGTACAGTATGGGGTGATCCGGTTGCGCGCGCAACATCACCACATGGTGATTCCCGACGATGACGACGATACATAATATAACAAAACGACCACCACTGTGCCATCCCATAGGGTATCCGGATCCGAACCACAACCGTACGGTTCTCATTCTCATATAGATTCGCGGAACCGGGTCATCACATTAGGTACACAGAAAAAAATTGTTCGCAAGTCACATTCACAATACCATATACGGACTACACTGATACAGATCGGTTATCATGTCGTGGCTCCAAATACAGACATTGAGCTAGTGGATCATTGGATTTGATTCAGTTATATCTAGGGAATCGGGAAAATTCCATGCCACGTATTGTTGTTATTATTATGCCATATTTTATTTGGGCAATGTCATCTCATTGCAACTCATCTCACTCGCAACAATATTTGATCATATCGTCATTGAATATAGAGTAACCGAAGTACTACGGCTACTCTGGCGATATGAATTTACGGAACCGGATCAGCGCAGACCGGTATTATTTAACTACTGCTTTATTCGATAGATTTGATGAGTTATTGAGTGCCAATTATTTGTGGCGATTCCCTTGCAACGATTTATTTAATTAATAATGAGAAGCCAACTGGCTTAAGTGCAGCAAGTAGTAATTCAGGATTTCATTCCCAAGCAAAATCGGGCTCATCACGAGCCGACTCCCAAACGGCGGCCGGAGCCTTCGGCTCCACTTTGTTGGCACGCTGGCGCTTCTTGCCATCGGTGTCCTGGGCTGGTTTCACGCTGATCTTGCGGCTGGTAGTGGGCGCATCCTCGGAATTGTCGTCGAAGTCGTATTCGTTGTCGATCATGCTAGTGTTTAGCTCGGCGATGCCATCCGTGAGCTGCTCTGTCTCTTCAACTGACTCCTAAACGTGGAATACAAGCAATGCAAATAATAATTCAATACCGAGACGTCCTTGGCTTTCTTGGCCCGCTTAGCCTTAGATGTGTCAACCCCGCCGGTCTTGGAGCGCTAGAAGCAATGAGATCAAATTAAATCTATATAATGATACCCGCTTAGATCCGGTTCGAGAAAAGTTCCCCTCGTCGGGATCATCCTTGGCATCCTTGCGCTTAGTACCGGTGATCGCACGAACACTTCCCCTGAGCTTCGATCCGGCACTACGAACGAACTTTCCAATGGAAGACGACTGGCTTCCAGCATCAGAGTCGTTGCCCTTAGTGCGGACGGAAACCGAGCGGTTGAGATCCGGTTTCGCTTTCTCATTTTTCAGCTTGGTGAACGAATCGACGATCGAGCGATGTCCCTCGATAAGGAGTTCCCCGAAACGACGCTCCAGTTGATCCATATATTCGGGAACGTGCATGTGTTCGAAGGTGAGACCTTCACCATAGCGGGGTAGCTTTTCGGTGCGCGCAGAGTCGAAATCGAATAGCTTCTTGAAGCGACCAAAGACGACCTCGAAATACGTCGTCTCGAAAAATTTGCCGACACAGGATTGTTCCCAGACCTAAAAATGCGATCATTTATACACAAAATGGGGCATACCTGCTCCGCTTCGCATTGACCCAGATCCTTGCACTCCTGATCAGCCTCCACGGACAGCAGTTTCCCGAGCCAGCGAGACATGAACCAATCGGGATTGGTAATGTTCAGAAATAGCGTAGAATCGGGGGTGCCGGCCCTCATAAATGGATCGAGACGGTAGGCGGTAGCCGGCTCACACACCTTCTTCAGAAACGATACCATGGATGACTAAATGGAAGACATATAGCGTTGTAATATCGATAAAATATACCGACAGATAGCCGCGGTCCTCCAGCACCGTGTTGAGGCGGGAACCGGACTTGCGCCATTCGTGGAACCTTGCCACCGAGAACGGAGCCTTGCCAAGAGACTCTCGGCCCGTTTGACCAATGTCTGTGGGGAGGATGCGGACATCCCGGTAAATCGAGCCCATGTCAATCAAACGCGAATTGCCATAAGACATGCTGAAATAGAGATGGTAAATTTGCGTCATTAACACATATCGCGAAAACAGAGATTTGATCACGGCTCATGGACCGGTCGGCACCCAGAGAATCGAACATAACATAAAAACCGCCCGATTTATTTAAATCCAACACGCCATACGTACGATTCCATAGAACCGATGCAATAAACCGGGGGCCGCCAGACGAGTAAATTACAAACCAAACATTCTAGGGTTTCTGCGATTGGGATACGCCGAAAAACCAAACAGTAAAAGCGCGAACCAGATCAGATTGATCCGGGGTAAGATGGGCCAAAGTAACCGGACCGCAGAGCATCTCAAACCAAATAATGGAAATATAGTGGATAAGCGACGAAATGGGCAAGTTGACATCCGGATTCTTGACGATCAGGCCAAAATTCTGCATCGTCTTGTCGGTTGCCACGGCATTGACTCCGGATTGCTAAAAATTGTATCAAACGGACCCGGATATAACATACCGGTCCAGCCAGATGACGACTATTGTAGATGGCTTGTTGCAGAGTGCTCAGTGAAGCGATGAATTGCTCGACGATAACCGGCAATTCTTCCGGAGCACGGTTGATCAGATTGACAATGGCAGGCCATGCGGTGGTAAGTCGCCCAGCATACCCTTCCACGGCCATATCTACGTGCAGCTGTGTCTTCGGACGATGATAGTGCACGGCGAGCAGGCGGATCCCATGATAGAATGGTTGCAGGGCCCACAGCTCTCGGACCGCTAAACAAAACACAATCGTGTTGGTACGGTTTTAATTACCACAAGGAGAGAATGTGCCCAGTCGGCAAATCCCGGCGGTTTCGTCGAATTTCCCGGTGTGACGATTAAACCACTCGCGCCAGTGGATCTCGCGATCCCGCCAAGTCATGTCGTGGATAATGGCCCTGGTGTTGTATTTCTGGAAATCCGAGCGACAGAAGCGTTCTTCTTGAACCCCGCCCATCGAACGAAGCTGACGCTTCACTGTCTTCTGCCAATGCGATCCATAGTGAACTTCTAGGGCCTAGAACAAAAAAAAAAAAGGGGATTTTATAATAAGAATCGGTCTAACCGTATGCGTCCCATCTGATTTGCGGCGAGATCGGTTCACACGAGACTCCTCGATATCGACCTCCAGCTTAATCTCCGGATCTTGAGCATCCGGTTCCTGATCATGCTGTTCGCCTTCGGGATGTTCATCGTTTCGATCCACATTTCGCGGGTTCTCCTGATCCACATCTTCATGATCCACATGGGCTTCCATATCTGGTGCAACATCGAGAACTGGATCATCCCGCTCCGGTTCCTCATCAGTGTCGCCGTGGTAGACCTGTTCGAGATCCGGCTCCTCAATGTCTTTAGATCGATCGTTGATATCGAGGTTCTCGACGCCGTCCTCTCCCTGGCCTTCCATATCATCGACGATGGTGCCATCCGAGTCTGCATATGATGCATCGCTCTGGATTCGGATCCGGTCCAGCGAGTCCGCAGCCTGTATCATAACATATATACCGCAAATAAATATGGTTTACCGTTTCATCAATATCGTCATGGTCGTCCGCAATAAAAGAACCGGGAGCGCTGCTGTGGGGTGAGTTCAGTACAGCAACGCCGAGCACTGGATCGACCGGAATATCAGGAATAGCTGCAGCGACCGGTTCAAAGACCTGGAGACATGGAATACGTATAATTGAGATAAATGGGAAAGGTAAATCGAACAGCGATCGCTCACCCTGGGTGGGCTGGTTGGACTATCGGGTACGATCTCCATCTCAGCTTCTGATCCGGATGGGCTGGCCGGGGTATCGGGGATCTGTTGTTGCTAAAAATTATTAATTGGTCAATGGATAAGAAAAGGCAAACCGGATCAAAGTGAACCGAATGCATCGATCCGTCTCGGACAATCTTCACAGGCGTACCCGGCGGAACCGTATCAATGAGATGCACATCGTCTTCTTCCATATCATGATCGGAACCATGTGGCGACAATGCTTCGGTTGGCTGAGTATCCATCGTTTCGTCACCGTTAATGATGATAGGGTTTAGGCCTACGGGCCAAATCCCTTCGACCTGCTCCTCTTCTTCCATACGGTGATCGGAACCATGCGGCGACACTGCTTCAGTCGGTCCATCATCCATCGTTTCGTCGCCGATAATGATGGGTGGGGTCATCGGCCCAATCGGATCCGTGATGTCCTCATCATTTTCTGCAATCGGCTGAGGCTCGGGAGAATCGGGGTCAAATGGCGGCGTCGCGTTCTGTCTGGTTGGAACCGGAACATCATCGACCTCGCTATCGACAGAGTCCTCATCGCTTGGAGCAACGCGAGCCACGATCACCTGGATAAAACAATCAGATTGTTGCAAGATAAATTTACCGCCGGATGATCTGGATCGAACAATTGATATTGGAAATTGGGATCGTCGAGCTTCGTAAATTCGTCGAGGTTCCATCCGTTGGTAGAGACCAAAAGCTTACGAACCGCATCGTAACGATCCGGTTCGTTGAACTTATACCGAATGTACCACTGACACGATGCCTCGCTCCCTGAATAATTTATCAATGATATACAATTATTAAACGCACACTGCTGGTATGACGAGAACGGTCCATCGACCGCGGCAGACTCGCTCTCCTGGGAATCACCTCCCTTCTTTTTCGTCTTTCTCATCGGATCGGATAGACTTGACAGTGGCCATTTCGGGGGCATTGTTCTGTCATCTCCGTGGTATTTGTCGAACATGACGCGCATCAATCCGCAATTGGCCAATGAATCGCCTCGATCACGTTGAAGACAGGCCAGTCGCCGATTCAGATTGTTGGACTGACAGGGGGTCCGGTGGGCTCCCGGAGTCAGACCCAGCATACGTTCGAATCGGTCCGGATCCAGCTCCTTGCGTTGCCAAATACGGGATTCTAAAGCGGAACTGTATCAAAATAATACCATACCTAGAATGTCTATACCACTGGCCGCCATCTGTTGGAAGAACACCATGGAAACGAGACCATCGAAGAATACACGGACGGCTGGATGATTCGGAGGGTATCCCTCAAGGCGAAGCGGGATCCAGCGGCAGAGGGCGAAGCAGCGATACAACAGGCTCAGGGCTGGGTTGCAAACGATACGTGACAGCTCAGCCACGTTCAAAAACGCCAACGTTTCCAGAGTCTCGACGGCGATCAGCGGCTTGAAATGACACTTGCCGACGCCCAGCGAGATACGCTCCAGGATCTCGAACTGTATCAAAACGATTCTGTATATCAAGAGTGCTTACTGGTTCATAGATTCGGACTTCTTTCGGCCAATGATAACGTGGACTTCCGTAGACGGCCTGGGCACGGGTGCCGTCCTGACAGAACTTCTCCGGCAACATAGCCACCATGTAGGATTTATCATCAACAGGTGGAAAAACAGAAAGTGGTTTTCTCACCTGCTACAAATCCCCCCCCCCCGCTAACAGTCCAGCAACAGCTAAAGCCCCAACCGGCGTCGATCAGCGACCAGGCAGCCCAGGCGTCCGGTCTCGTCACCGGCTGATACAGCGAGATCAGCGTGATGTTGTCAATTTGGCGGCTCCCTTTCTCCCATTGCTGGAAAAGCACTTTTTCGATCTGGCGAATATTTTATTCACGGTTTTGCATAGTTTTTGCGGTATAAAAGGCTCATCAACTTACAAAATTTCGACAAATTCTGACTTTTTGGTCAAAAATTTATGAAAAATGAGCGAAAAAGGTCAAAATTTTCGCATTTTCAAAAATGTTTCAAATGTTTTTCGTAGCTTTACTAAATTAAAAGCTACTAAAAACAACAATTCTGACCGACCTCGATGATCAGCTGCAGGGTGGGGGCGAGCGCACGGACGAACTCGTCGACCAGTATCTTCTCCGGTTTCCAGTCCGCCCAGCCTAAACCAGCGACATTTAAATGGCTAGACTGCGCAAACCATCGATCAGGGTGAAGTGCGCGGTGATCGCAGGCGCCTTCACGTCGATCAGCCTGGCCACCTCGCCGACGTGGCGCCCGAAGAACACCCAGAACTTCTCGAGGCCCTAAAAATAATATCGAAAATGCCGAATCGCTTGTCAACCGAATTTTCAGGGTTATGTTTTTCTGTTGTTATAACTATCTTAAATTAGAGTATTTTGATCTAGACTTAAAACGCCTAGTGTAATTTTTGATGTCTATCGGGTCACGATGATGTGGTCCCAAAAAATAATGAGATATTAAAAAATCTACGACATGCAGCCCGGCCCGCTAACGAACCAAAACCGAAAATGGACAAAAAAAATCAACGTTACAAATTTTCGAAAATTTATTTTCTAGGTAGGTGTCGGCTAGGTCCCCTCGCTAACGGTGTAGAACCAAAAAAAACTTCGAAAGCCAAAACGAAGTACCGGAAGCATAACCATAACCGCCGAAATCGTGGCGCGAAGGATGGCGACTTGCGCTGCTTCATCCTCTCCACGCTCTTCGGGTTCTTGAAGGCTTTCAGCGTCTTCTTCTTCTAGCTCCACGTGGACGGCGATGCCCCGCGGATCGAGGGCGCCTAAAAATACAGGCACTGCGCTGTTAACGTGGGGGGGTAGCAGGGAAACCAATTTTTGTTTTTCCGCCTGTTAATAATCAATCAGTGTTTTTGCATAAACTTTTGCGTAGTCTTCGATTGCCAGAAAGTTACAAAAAAAACTTTAACCACTTTTGAAAATACAAAATTGTGACTTTGATCATTTTCATGAGTTTCTGAACGAAAGGTCGAACATTTTCTCGAAATAAGCCTTTCGCCGCTTTTTATATCCAAAAACCGTACAAAGTAATATAGAAATTGTATATATTTCGTCATAAGGCCGTGCAGGATTACTGGGAAAAATTAGTTTTTACCTACCGCTAAAATCCCACCGTGCTAACAGTTTAGTACCGGTTAAATTTCCCACCAATCTGTTGAAACGCTTCCATCGGATCACGAATCGGCAACAAGACGGTGTGGGCATGGATGTGGGGCGAGATGTTGTACTTCTCGGCAGCCGGCAAACTCCAGTCACTCCCGATGACGAACTGTAAACGCAGGTTTTTGTTCGAAGATATTTTAAACGCGCCGACAAATTTTTTCGTAGGATCAGATTGTCTACGCGCTCGTTTGAGGGGCTCCCTAGAATAATGGTTCTAGACTGTTAGCGGGGGAACCACCTTTGTTTTCCGGCCTATACCTACTATACGATCTATTTTATGTATTTTTATAGTTTTTAGTTGTTTTTGATCGCTAGAAAGTCGCTACTTTTTTTGGTCATTTTACAGTTATGACAAAAAATGAAAAAATTTTATTAATTTTTCAAGTTGTTTTGAGATAAAAAATTGTAAAAGGCTTTATATTTTGTTATAGCGCCGTAGAGAATCAAACCGAAAAATTTGGTCCCCCCCGCTAACAGCCGAGAGCCGGCATACTATTCGTTGAAAAGATACTATTGTATCTCGACTTCCGATTCATCCACATATTTTGAAAGTATACCAAAATGTTAGACTTAGTCTGGCGAGTATTTTCGTGTACCTTACAACCTTGTAGGTTAATGGGGAGCCCAGCTAGAAAATTCGCACCTGATCGAATGTGGCATTGTTGACGAGGATGTACAAGTCTTGAGCAGCCACGGCATCACGATCGACACCGAGTCGCAGTGGGGTGCAATGCTTCTCGTTGTATCCTCGAAAATGGCGTTGCTCTTCCAGGTATCTGGACGATGATAAATATATAGTAGACCGTGACGGTACCCGTATTCATTGCCGTATGCAAGAAGGTACTGTTGCCCTTGCTTGCCCGTGATCTTGTAGGCCCTGAAAAAAATGTTCAAAACAGGTGCTTTCGCATTATCGGGAGGGGGGATGGGGCGCAATCTTTTCCAGACACCACAAAAACTAGATGTTTCGACCAAAATAGACAAATTTAAATGAAATATACTGTATTTTCTTTCGCCTTTAAAGGAATTTCTGAAAACCCCTGATAATGCGAAAGACCTTCGATTTAATAAGCCCCTACTTTGCATGTTCTTTGCCGGATGTGTCGCCGAAGATGTGGCGTGCCTGCAAGCTTCCCCATTTCTTCGGTGAGTCGGAGATGAGATCCTGAAAAGCGTCTTGGTACGTCAATTAAACGCAACCTTGAGAAGCGGGTGTGCAGCGGCCAAGTTCAGCAAGTCGAGCGGGCTGAAGAGGGACAGCAACGCCAGCCAGACGGTGCTCGGAAGCGTGCGGAAACGGTCTATAGAGAGCAGCGTGTCCGGCGGCTTCTGAAAAGGAGGGTTAGCAAGGCCATATTTGAAGTATTTCCTAAGACCCCATCATGGATTTTGTTGGACACGGATCCTCGAAGCCAGGCCGGTGTGGATTTTGACTACAAGACGATCCAAACGCCCTTTTTCAAACTCCAAGCCTCTGGAAAAGCTAAGCTAACTATAAGCCGAAACCTAGGCTTAGCTTCATGCAAGCGAAGCTACTTAGCTTGAGCCAAACCGACCTCGCCTGATGGCGAATCCGTCTGGGTGGATTTGCTGAACATCGGGCGTGGTGCTAACATCAGAGCATGACAAACGCAATCTGCTTAATTTTCGAGCCTGTTTGTTAGCTACGGAATTCAAATTAGGACATTGAAACACGGGCGGGTTTTTAGCCCTCGGACGTAACGAGTCACGAACGCGTCACACCACATTACACCGCATAATTGGTTGCCCAAACCTAGTTATTTGTGACAAATAATCTTGTAAAGGTTATTCTGACGCTAGAAACAAAAAGATAGTTGTAAAGAAGCAAGTTGTAAAACAGATTTGGACGTGAAAGGGGCATAATCTCGCGCGTTTCGAGTAGATTGACGGTTTTTCTGGTTCATTGCACACCAGTACGAATACGAGAGCCTGTTCTAACACGAAGAAGCTTATTCTATAGTCACCCCCACGTTGTTCTCCATTTTCGCGAGCAATTATCGTTAGCAAACATTGTACACACAATGTTCGCAATGCAAGAATCTTTTGTGAATTACCCAAATATCACAGTATAACTGATCCGTAGGCTAAGACTTAGAAGAGGCTAGATGGGCTGAACTCGAAGGAGCAATGGTAGCGGTAAAAAGCAAAGCAGACAAGCGCTTTACAATGTCCCTATCATCACCAGCGTTTTTGCGCATGCTCCGCGTCACATCATTAGGTTTCATCCTCATCGTTTAAATACTCTCGAAGAAGTTCGGTTGGTTTTGTAGACGGTCAACAAGCAAAGTGCATGGCGTAACACTTACTTATAATGGCAGTCGGCACATGATTGAATCAGTATTGGTATAAGGATTCTTGCTAGTTAGACATGTGTGGTGAACCAGCAAAATCGTCAATCTGATCGAAACACGCAAGAAGATGCCCCTTTCACCTCCATATCTGTTTTACAACTATCTTTCTTGTTTCTAGAGTTAGAATAACCTTTACAAGATTATTTGTCACAAATAACTAGGTTTGGGCAATCAATTACGCGGTGTAAAGTGGTGTGACGCGTTCGTGACTCGTTACGTCCGAGGGCTAAAAACCCACTGGCGTTGAAAAATAATAGCCCGAAACTGGCAATTTTGGGCTACGGTAGCGGATCCACGTTTAAGTGGCGGGGCACCGTTTAGCGAACAGTACAATCACTTGGCTAGTAAAGTGATACTTCAATGTAGTTTTCTATTAGTTATTTCACTTTTTATGGATAATAATAATTGATCAACAAAAAAAAATCAGACAAGCACACGCCTTACGTTTTTTGCTCGCGCTTCTTGCCGATTTTTTGCTCGATTGCTTGCTGAAACGCATTTAGTCAAGGGTTTGTCTCACGGAGTGAAATGAATAGCGAGAATTTTCCTATGATAGTGAATATTTCAGGCAGTATAATGTCGGAAGTAGAAGAGTACGCTTGTCCAGCGATGTTCTGTCGCTATAGTACCCCATGGTCAACCACTCTGAAACGATATGTACATTCCCAGCACCCTGGCATCACTTACCCGGCGTCCCCGGCGCATTTGGAGGAATTTGCGTGCCAAGAATGCGACAAACGCTACGGCACGCAGAAACATCTCCGAGAACATCAGATATTAAAGCATCGCAAAGCCTACTGTTCGGAAGCGCGAATCACTTGCTCGGTGTGCTCGGACGTTTTCTGGCCACCAGGAACTAGTTGTTCACTTCCAGTAGCATGATGAAAAGTACGCGGGTGTCTTTAAGTATATGCTTGAGTATATTGGTGGATGACGCTCCAGATCTTCCTTTACCAATAGTACACGACCCAGAAGCCGAACACTGCGCGAAGGTCAACCAGTGTCTAAATGTAAGTCGAATACGAAAAAACAACCTTTTCCAGACACTCAATGCCTTGCAGCTTGCCGTCCGTTCTTCCAAAAACACTCCAAAAATCTATGAGCTTAATGCCTATTTGGCTAAAAAAATGGAGGAGTTCATGGAGGGAGAAGTTCGACAAACTTGTTAAAGAGAATAGAAAGGCCACGCCGATCCGCGATGCAAGCAAGACGTACCAGATGGAGAAACGAACCGCAAGGAATGCGTTCTTGGCGCAGCAAAGAAAAGCCAAAGATTAATCCCTCAAGTCAGGTTGCTATTGTTTATTCTGTTGTTCCTGTTGTTGTTATTTTGCTCTTTTTGTTGAAATAAACACTTCCAAATGCGTTTCAGCAAGCAATCGAGCAAAAAATCGGCAAGAAGCGCGAGCAAAAAACGTAAGGCGTGTGCTTGTCTGATTTTTTTTGTTGATCAATTATTATTATCCATAAAAAGTGAAATAACCAATAAAAACTACATTGGAGTATCACTTTGCTAGCAAAGTGATTGTACTGTTCGCTAAACGGTGCCCCGCCACTTAAACGTGGATCCGCTACCGTAGCCCAAAATTGCCAGTTTCGGGCTATTATTTTTCAACGCCAGTAAAACCCGCCCGTCATTGAAACCCGGTAATGGTGATTGATTATGCAGGAAAGTTTCCCTGCTGCCTTCCAATTAGCTTTTCTCGCTTTTTCAGTCAGTTGAATGAATGTGCCGCGCCACATCAATGCTAATACTACAAATCTGGGATCGTCAGAAAGCGATGCAAATGCATAAACTAGAGGCGACGCCCCTACTATTATGTGCGCTCGCACGTATTATCGAAGGGTATATGTGGAAAAGTATGCGCCGCTCAAATAGACTACATCAAGAGGTCATATTAATCAATGCGCAAGCCAAACCCTCAGCAGTAGTACATGATATGCCACTCCAAAATATAGTGTTTGACCATGTAAAAGTTTATTGGCAACAATTTTATCCGAAAAATCAACAAATTAGATAGGATTGTTAATCCATTGGCTCAGCGGTCCGTGCTCTCTCACCAGCTTGCAGTTCACACCATCAGATTGGAGTCGTCCATCGGCCCTCATTTTTTCGTAATCCTCCTTGCTCCATTTTGTGAATCCCCACTTGCGGGAGACGACGATGAACTGGCGGCCGGGGAACTTGAACTTGGCACGGCGGAAGGATTCGATGGCGTGATTGACGTTCTAAAAAAAAAGACATAATGGCAATCAAAAAAAGCTTACGTTTTCCTTGACACGGACGGAGAAGAGGAAGTCACCGATGTCGACTCGGGCCACCAGTCCTTGGGGCTTTCCGTAAGCTCCACGCATTCCAGTTTGGAGCCTATCAGCTCCGGCACACGAAAGCATCTTGTTGATGCGTACGACGTGGAAGGGGTGCTTTCGGACACGGAGATGGAAGCCGTCCTTTCCGCAGTTCTTGACCATGTACTAAAACAAACTAAAAAAAACCAAGATGAACAAACCTTGTTGGCGCAAATGCGAGCGGCTTCTAGAGCTTCTGAGGAAAGATGTTCCCGTTCATTCGAAATCATGTGGACACATGCTGGGAATTCGTCGACATTCGCCCTCTTCTTGCCAAGATCGAAGATGCGGATCTTCGGGTCGGGGACACCTCGGCAGAACCGCGATTTGGGGTACGGCTTGTTCTTAATGTACCGGTAGCAGCGCGCTGGACGCCTACCCATCTGGAAATGAATAAATAAGTTGGTAATCGTGAATGTAATCGAGAGAGAAATCAATCAATTGGTGATGTGAGGAGTTGCCAACAGATTCAAACAAGCGTTTTGCGATAGGTTTCAGGGCGTATGCTTTTATCTTTTCGAAACGAGTTGCAAAATCATCAAAACCAGTGGGAACGACGCGCACGGAAAGTAGAATGTACGAAAAACCCAGAGTGATATAGAGAAAAATGGGGAAATCGAAGCAGGGCCGATGCGGACTGCCCCGGAACGCACTGACCCGCTACGTTATGTGTATGGGCGCGTTGGCGATGAAGCAAAAATCCGGCGGATGGGGCCGATATTTGATGGTTTCTTCAATAAAAAGAACTTCTTATTGTTTATAATAATTATTTTGATTTACTAAATTGCCATCAAAATTTTCTTAATGTTTCCAACCATTTTGGGTTCTATAGAATTGACACTTGGCCCTTTCCCACCCCAGATTTTAACTTTTCGTGATCCTTTATTAGTTTTAGTTTATTTGTTAGGCAACATATGATTCTCATTTAGATGCCAAGGCCGCTTGAACTATAACCAGAACAGTTCCGGAATGCTGCATGCCCTTGCGCTGAATCGTGGGAGCCTCAGGCTCTCGCAGTTGGTTCGGCCACAGCTCAGGTGTCTCCAAGTCCTTGTATTAAAATTTATTCCTTAGGTATCTGCAGAAATCGAGCATACGACAATTCCCGAAGGTGGCCGGAAGCTTGAAAGAAGTGGGTCTTTTTCCAGCTTTTTGATTCATTTTTAGGAACTCTTACGATGGGTCTCACAAGGTTTCCGGAAGTCTCACATCCGCTCCTTCCGGCTTGCCGGGCTTGGGATAAGCCTTTGTGCGCTACCTGGGCTAAGGTAAGACTTTCCGATTTTGTTTGCAAAACGAAGAAACCTCCAATTTGGTCGGGATTCCGTTTTATGCTTCTGTTTCAGGCGATACGACTGTAAGTCAGTACATGTGACCAACCGACGTGCCGAACACATCAAACGTGAACGCTTGAATGAGGAAGAGCCGGCACTCGCTCTATCGGACCTATGGGGCTTAATGAAACCATACCTTGGCTGGTTCATCCTAGCATGCGCGGTTCGTGATTGTGAGCGTAACGTGATTATGATTTTTAGAGCGCTATATTGACGGCGTTGCTCAACGTCGAAATCCCGATTCGGTTGGGCGAGCTAATCAATGCGATCGCCGGGATTATAAGAGATCAAGGTGAGAAAAAACCCTCTAAAACTTGCTTGTCAAATGGTGGGAGTCTCTAGTTTCAACATTTAGGCGCTGGCCACCCCATCGATATCGCTGTGGTACAACCGGCCGCGACGAGATTGATCTCGTTGTACTTTGCGCAGGTCAGCCTCGATGAGAGCTTAGAAAGTCATTAACACGTTTTTAGGCCGTCCTCACTTTCTGCTACATCAGTTTTCTTTCCGTGATGGGCGAGCGGATGGCAGCCGATCTACGGGTGAAGCTCTTTGACAGGTCCGGCTTTTTCTCTGTAGAAATCTGTTATTTAGATTGCTTTCGCTTGACATGGCCTTCTACGATGCTCAAAAAACGGGAGAACTTTCTTCACGCCTAAACTTGGACGTGCACGAGTTCAAGAGCAGCTTTAAGATGTCCGTTTCACAAGGGTTGAAGACCGCTGCTCAGGTAGTTACGATTTTTATAATCGTCTATTCTCTCTTTAGGTAGCTGGCTGCTTCATCTCTCTTCTACGTCTTTCACCCCAAATGACTGCAATTACAATGGGTTGCATCCCCGTGGTAATCCTTGTCGGAACTCTATGCGGCACGTTATTGCGGAGTCTGAGCAGAAGGTATTTTGCTGAAATTGGTTGAGTTATGACCATGATACTAGAGCACAAGCCCAACAAGCCGTTGCATCCGCCGTGGCTGACGAGGCATTCGGCAATATACGTACTGTCCGAGCATTCGCCATGGAAAAGGAGGAATCGGGGTGACTTTTAGCGTTATTTTATGATTTGTATGTTTTTAGTCTATACAAGAAAGAAGTGCAAAAAGCGGCCGTGATGCAGGAGCAGTTGGGAATGGGGATCGGTGTTTTCCAGGCCGGCACCAATTTATTCCTGAACGGTATTCATTAGCCGGATATTTTTCACCTATTTATCTAGGCGTTATCCTTGGCGTCCTGTATGGTGGTTCGCAACTTTTGTCAACGGGCGATATGTCACCTGGTAAGCCGATTTTTTGTATTCTCATCAGCGTTGCTATATTAAGAAAATCATGTTTGTATAGGTGAACTGATGTCGTTTCTTGTCACCGCGCAAATGATCCAGAAATCCCTATCACAACTTTCCGTGGTGATGGGCACGGCATTGAAGGGATGGACTGCGGCGGCAAGGGTGTTCCAAGTGAGGAATTTGCCAGTGCATCCTATGTTTTTAGTTTGCCAACATTGTGCCGCTGATCCGGAATGACGACGGCGTTTGTATACCCCATCACGCCTTTGTGCCCGTGATAACGTATGTTTCAAATTTTTTTCGGACCTGATTCCTTGATATCGTAGGCTCAAGGGGGGTGACTTAGTTCTATTTTAGATTCGAAAATATCGGCTTCTCCTATCCGACCCGCCCTGGGCACGCCGTCTTTGAAAACATGAACCTAGAAATCCCCGCCGGCAAAGTGGTGGCCCTCTGCGGACCAAGCGGCGAAGGTATATATTGCTTTTCGCAAATTTATCTGCTTATTACAGGCAAGTCGACGATAGCGGCTCTTTTGGAGCGCTTCTATGAGCCAACAAGTGGTCGAGTGACGGTCGGCGGTAAGGACGTGAAGGACCTGAATTTGGAATGGCTGAGATCAAGGGTCAGCTAAAGGCTAAAAACATAAAAAATTTTTCAGGTGATTGGCCTCATCTCACAAGAACCCGTTCTTTTCCATACTTCAATTTTGGAAAATATCAGATATGGGAAGCCGGGAGCTACGGACGAGGAGGTGTGTTGTTCGTGCGTGAGACTAGCTTCGCCTGTTTAGGTTCGTGAGGCCGCGAAGCTTGCCAATGCAGATGATTTTGTGATGAAATTCCCCCAAGGCTATAATACGGTGGTTGGCGAGAGGGGCGCCCAGCTGTCAGGTAACGCAATCAAAAATGTTAAAAATTTTTGCAGGTGGTCAAAAGCAGCGCGTTGCAATTGCGCGGGCACTATTGAAGAGCCCGCCGATCCTCATATTGGATGAGGCCACTTCGGCTTTAGATGTGGAATCGGAGAAATTGGTCGGTTGATGTCTTCGCGCGGTTCTTTCGCATTATCGAGGGGGAAACCACCCTTCTGCTAAATCCTTCACTGAAATTGCTGGATAAATTCGGTCTTTTCAGGTTCGTGAAGCTCTAGAGCGTGCGATGGGCGGAAGAACAGTGCTGGTCATCGCCCATCGCCTGTCCACCATCCAAAATGCGGACATCATTTGCGTTGTCAAGGTATTCGCTGACTCCCTTTACCTTTACTGCTCCTTTAGAACGGCGGAATCGCCGAGCAAGGCAACCACCGGGAGCTGCTGCGGAAGAAGGGACTCTACTACCAGCTGGTGCAAGCCCAGGCGGCCAACGATTAGCGTTTTCTAACCTTGCCCTTTCCAGGTTACCTAATTTATTAGGCCATGTATGTTTCATATGTGATGAACATGAAGAAATTTTGTCGCGCTAGCTGTGATTTGTTACCCGGCTCATTCGTTGTTATAGTTTGCGACTAGCGATAAATAGTTTTGGATTTTATGTGCTTTTGACTGGGGGATTTTCAGGGGGAAATGATATCATTGATGAGGTAGCGGAGAGAAAGGGAATGGAGCCGTTTGGCGGGATGGGCGTGGCCAGGTGCCCCTTCTTTCTTTCGGCCGGTGGCAGCGAAATCAATTGTGGCCTTTCGTCGAGAGGGCAACACCCGTTTCTCCCGTTCAGTGCTTATTCAAATCGGCACTGTTGAGGCCAAATGGTGGTTTCCACCCCCGGAACTGGCCGTAGTTCCTCAACAATGTCGACGTCAGCTCGTTTGCGTCTTTTGGCAATTGGCGCCGTTTTATCGCTATTGTCGATATTCCAGGTGTAGTATTATCACTTATTTTCAACCAATATTTTCTTCAGATGGGCTACGCGACAGCTTTCCCAAATACGGCAATCGACGCGTTTCGCGATTACATCAACGAGACTGTCGCCGACTATGGTTCGCATTGTTTTCTTGGGTTCTTTCGCATTATCATCGAAAGCTTAACCGAATTTCTTTTTCCGGACCAAATATCCCTATTAAATTTATGCGAACTTTTTATCAGTATTTTTAACGCTATGAAACTATATTTTAGTTAGAAAAATTATGTATAAAGCTTAAAATATTGAAGGATTTGAAATTTTGTTAAAAAATTTATGTATGTTTTTTACATCAAAATTCGTACGGGTTTTAGGTTTAGAAGAAGTCAAAAAAACGGCGTAGAAACACTTCCTCTAGTTCTGATGGAAGAATTGGATTCGCTGGAAAATTTTTGCCCCTCCCCCCCCCGATAATGCGAAAGCTCCTTTATTTGAAGTTTTTCCGCCAAGAATGCTGATATTTTATAGTTTTGAATAGCGATTTTTAGGCTACACTCTGAGCACGGAGACCTTCTCCTGGGTATGGTCGGCAATTCTGGACACGTGGTTCGTCGGGTTCGCCGTCGGAAGTTGCCTGGCCCCCATATTGGCCGACCGGATGGGCCGAAAATGTGAGGCGAAAATCCAGCAAGTTGAATAACCGCTTCTAGCCGGTCTCCTCGCCGGCAACGCGCTGAATGCCGTGTCGGCCGGGCTGAGCTTCTGCGCCGTCACGTGGCCATCGTTGGTGCTATTTTCGATCTCGCGGCTGCTCTTCTCGCTGGCGGCGGCCATATCGATGAACTGTCTGATTCTGCTACTACAGGCCCGTTCATGTAAACAATTGTTGTCGAGTGTAATTAAAAGGGAGCATAGATTAACGTGAGAATTTTGTGCGTTTTTCACCACCGGGGTCGAATTTTGATGAGCAACATCTATAGGTACTGGTATGTTAGCGGGAGGGACTAATTTTTGTTTTTGCGACACGTTGCTAATTGATAACTTATTTTATAGTGTTTTTAGTATATTTCAGTTGCTGAAACTTGTAAAACTATTTTTTTAAAGTTTGAAAATGGGAATTTTTGTAACTTTTATGCCATTTCATACATTTTTGACCGAAAAGAAAAAAAATCGAAAATGATTATGATTTTTCCATCTAAAAACTGTTTAAATTCTTTAAAAAGAGCCATATTTCGTTTTACGCCCTCACGGGAGTACTCGGAAAAATTTAGTCACCTCGCTATAAAGCCTCAACAATTTCAAGAACTCCCGGTCCTCCTCAGTCCATTTCAGGAAGCATCCCCGGTGTCAATGCGTGGCGTCATGTCCTTTTACGCGGAGATGGCATTCGTTGTCACGAATCTGTTCGGCGGGATGGCGGGGATGAGGAGCATCCTTGGCACCAATCTGCCGATGCTGACTGGGTCGGTTCCTTTACGTTCGCAAAAACATAGTTCCAATTCAGAGTGGCCGTCGTGCTCGCTGTCGCCTCAGTTCTTGTCGTAATTCCGGTTGCTGAAAGCCCTCAATTCCTGCTCAATAAACGAAACGATACCGAGGCGGCGGCAAAAGCCTTGTTTTTCTATCAACGAGTTGGTAAGGAGATGCCCATTTTCTAAATGGGACATTTTCAGCCCCGGTCGAAGAGGAATGTCTCGACAAAGGAGCGGAAAACGAGGCCGCCGGCTCGATAATGGAGATTTTTAGGACTCCCCATTTACGCAAAGGTGGATTTTTGGATTTATCAAAAGACGTTAATTTTGTCAGGCCTTCTGCTGGGACTCTGCGCTCTACAGGTCGCCGTCTCAATCTGGCCCATCGTATTTTTCTCCACCGATCTGCTACGTCGGGCCGGGATCGATGACGATCTCTCGGAACTCGTCTCAACAATTATGCTTTTTACCAGGTAACTTTCGAAAGTGTATATTTAATGTAATCTACTGTATATTTAATGTAATGTAATGTACTGTTAGCGGGGTACCAAATTTTCCTAAAAATTATAAAAATTTTTCACTTCTTGGTCCAAAATGTATGAAAAAATGGCCAAAACGGGTCAAGCTTTCTCGAATTTTCAAAATTAAAGGATTTATAACTTTCTAGAAATCATACACTACTAAAAACTATAAGAATCCATTATACTACCATGCCACAGATATTTGGAAGAAAAAACGGTGGTTTTCCCCCGCTAACAGTCCAGTACCGTATTTTATACGCTAAAGACCCTCAAGTCACGTTGTAGATTTCCAAAAATAACGTTAAATCCGTTTTTACAGCACACTCTGCACATGCGTCGGGATGGTGCTCGTCGAAAAAATTGGCCGCCGCACCCTGTTGATAATTTCGTCACTTGTCAACATTTCGGCGCTGCTCCTGTTTGTCGTTTCGGCCGAGATTACGGTATAACCTTTATTGCTACCTCCCAAATTAAGGTATCTTACAGCCCTTCTACAGTCACGCTAACATCGGGTGCATTGTTGCGATTATGGCTCATGGCGGCAGTTACAGGTGGGAAATGGATTAGAAATTTGTCAATCGTGTATTTAGTATTGCGCTAGGCCCGATCGCATGGTTTATAGTGTCCGAATTGATGCCGATAAATGTATGAAATTTACGTTTATATCAAATTTCGTTTTGTCGCATTATCGGGGGTGGATCCAACTTTTTTCTAAAAGTCGAGAAATGACTGGTAACCTAATAGGAAGTGGTTTAATCGTGTTTTCAATTAAATTTAACTATGTTTTAACTGGAAAAACAATCCAAACATAGGTAAAATTTTAATGGAAATTTTGATCGAAAATTGGCCCTTTTGATCGTAAAATCTATTTTTTTGCCTTTTTTTAATCAATGTTTGTATAAAGTTTTTACGTTTAAGAATAGGAAAAACGGTAATAAAAATATATTTACTAACTTAAACGTAAATAATATTAGAAAAGGAACAAAAAAAACACTTTTAGGTGCGTGCCACCGGACAGTCGCTAGCCTTGGCCGTAAATCAGACGATTGCGTTGTTGCTTGTAACTGTGACGTTGCCACTTCATGACCGCATTGGTAAGATTGCAAATAGAGGAAACAAGCGACAAAAAAACTCAATAAAATGTTGAGACGCGATGTTATTTAGGTGCTTGGTCTCTGTTGATCCTGTTCGTCGTGCCGGGCACCCTGGCACTGATCGCCATCTATCGATACCTTCCCGAGACCAGGGCCACACCTATCGATCATGTCATATTGGCGCTAAAGGTAGATGAAGAATCTGGGAATTGTTTCTACTATCCTTTAACGTATTATTAAAAATACAAAATATTCAGTTATTCGATACAAAATCCGAATTTTTGACGTTCTAGGCTTTCAAGATTTTCTAGAGTGTCTCAAAAAGTACTTACTGTTCCCTTAATCGCTCTACAGGAACAAAATTCAGATTTTTAGCTACCAGGACTTGCGCGAAACCCTGTTTTTAGGGCATCAAGCTCCCGGCGGACGCCCTCGAGCTCGACTCGCCGAGGAAAACGTTGAACAAGAGCAAAATTTATGAAGCCGAATAAATGTTTTTGTGGTTGTGCGAACAGAATTGCAATAATTGAGCAAAAAGTGTGCTCGGGGGTTATCGGCGTTCGGCGGGTTGCGTCAAAACTCCATCACCGGCACAGAATTCGGGACAGATTCTGACAGAGACGAGCCCCCCCCCCCCCAAGAAAACGCTAGACACACTTTCTATGTCCGGGTGATAACAGGGCTGTTTTCCTACATAAACAGCACAGAATTCGGAATCGCTGCAGTTTCTTGGACGCCCAGGTCAGAGATGTTTTCCATCATTCTGACCGGTTTAATTCTGGCATTTCGAAGTCTTCATTTTCATGAATTTAACCTTCTTAGAACGTAGAAGTAAATAAAAATAAAATAAATTACTGTTAGAAGCCTACAAGAGGTTCTTACGTATTATCAGGGGGGCATTTTCGAGTACTTTTAAAGGGCTGCCGACGGCATGTGTCGATCCCCCCTCATCAACAAATTGGCAAGTAGCCAATAGGGCAGAGAGCGCGCCCAGGGGAGAGGCGCAGTGACATTTTCTTTCCAGCGCGTAACCGATTGACTATGCCGTCGGCATCCATCCCTTTAACGTCATAGTCGTGTTTTATGAGTGTTTCAGTAAAACTTAACTCTAATCCAACCGGAAAACATTGAAAGACCTTGAACCTTTTCAATTGAATGGAAAAACGAGATTTTTGGTCGAAAAATCGAGATTTTTTGGAGTTTTTAAAACAAATTTTAAAAATTTTCAGTCCATTTTCGGAAGGTTTTCACTGTTTAGCACCTCGCGGGCTAGTGCAAAATGGGACTTTTTTCGAGAAACTCGAACTTCTTGTTGGTTCTGTTCTTACTTTCATATTTTGGTATGTTCAAAATGCGATACCGAGATGACTTGAACTCAAAGAAAAGATCGTGCTCCAAAAACTTCGTAGCGTATCCTGAAAAAACGTCTGGGCGACCCACAATTGAGCCCGAATCACAACGCTGATAATGGTCCGGGTACGAGCCGACCCCGACAGAACAAATGCTCCAATGCCCCGGCTCCAAAATTGTCTACACCGGGCTTTTCACGGGTTCAACTTTCTGCAGCATCTCGAGACTGGCAATACCTTCATTAATCTGCTTTTTTCCAGGAAATGGGAGCCGGGAAATCACCTCCGGAAAAGCGGACCGACATCGATGAGCAGAGCGAGAGGTCCAAAGATTTTGCTTTGGCTGACCCGAATTTTAGCAGTGCGAAAACCGTGGAAACGCCCGACCTCGACGCGAAGAGGGCCTCGATTTTGCAACTGGTACTGGTTGAATCCTTTCTAGAATTTGTCCCGATTACAGTACCGGTACGCGTCGCCCTTCGACCTTTGCCTGGTGGTGCTCGGGTGTGTGGTGGCGATGGTGACCGGTGTCGGGTTCCCGTTTCTATCGATCATCATTGGGTTTGTTGGATACTGTATTGCTACAAGATCGCTTTTAGAAACGTGTCCCAGGCGTTTATCGTGTTGGAGAATGCGAGATGTAAGTTTTGTTGTAGTGCGCTCTAATTTAACATCGTTTTAGTGCAAAACGACACGGACGCTGGGATGGTAGAAGCCCGAGAGAAGTTCAAGCATGACGTTATTCAGGTATTTACAATTTGCGCTGTCTATAGGATTGAGAGGTTTTGAAATTGGACCAAAACCATGATTTCTTTCTCATTTCAGGCTTGTATCCACTATGCCATCGTTGGCGTCGTGATCATGGCTTCATCTTTTATACAGGTTGGAGCTTGAGAGTTTTCTCTGATTAGTTTCCTACGCAGGAAAGGTGCAACTATGAAAAATTGCTTTTACAGATCGCGTGCTTCATGGTGAGCTGCGAAAACGTCACCAACCGGATGAGAAGGGCATTCTTTAAGGTCTAGCTTTTTTTTTTGTTTTAATATGTGAGTTTTAAAGGCTATCATGCGCCAGGACATCTCTTGGTACGACCGCAATCATTCTGGAACGCTGGCTACAAAGCTTTTCGAGTAAGCCGAGTCTAAGCGTTTCACTTTACGTTTTTAGCTCGATGGAACGAGTTCGTGAGGGTCTCGGTGATAAGATGGGGTTGATGTTCCAGTTCTCTGCACAGGTACGAAAAACAATTTAGAAAAGCGCGAAATTTTTACCGTAATTCTAGTTCTTCGGCGGTCTGATCGTTGCGCTGACGTACGACTGGAAGTTGACGCTGATCATGATGGCGCTATCACCTGTGCTTATTATTTGCGGTGCTTTTATGGCCCGGGTACGCTAATTTCTAGTTTTTTAACAGCTATTTAAAAATGTTTTTTAACAGCTATTTAAATTTAGATGATGGCCTCCGCAACAGCCGCCGAGATGAAAAAGTACGCGGTGGCCGGACAAATTGCCGAAGAAGTTCTAACATCGATAAGGACTGTATTTGCCTTCAACGGCCAGGAAAGAGAGTGCCGACGGTAAGCGGAAAAAGCTGGCTTACCTGAATCTTCTTTAGATATGACCAAGCCCTGGAAGCCGGGAAAATCGACGGCTACAAGAAGTCCGTCTACATTGGCATCGGCCTGGCGAGCACCATGATTGTCATCTTCTCCACGTTTTGCCTGGCTTTTTGGGTCGGCACGGATTATATCTACTGGGGGATGACGTCTTCGGCTGATGTATTGACGGTATGGCTACTGTCAAAAATTTTGAGCATGTTTTAAGGTGTTCTTCTCGGTGATGATGGGCTCGATGGCGATGGGGAATGCCGGGCAACAGTTTGGGGTGCTTGGTGTTGCCCTTGGAGCTGCTGGCGTCGTTTTCCAAGTTATCGATCGCGTAGGTGATACTCTATTTCTATCAATTCTTTTTTAGGAGCCAGAAATCGATTCCTATTCCGAAGAGGGCCAAAAGCCGAAACAAATCCGCGGCGAGGTCCGGGTGGAAAATCTTCATTTCCGCTATCCATCCCGAAAAGATGTCCCAATTCTGAAGGTACATTACTGTCCACTTTACGATTCGATATTATGCCCTAACTACAGTATATTCTTCAATTATTTTAGGGAATCTCATTGACATGTGCCCCGGGTGAAACTGTGGCTTTGGTTGGATCATCTGGATGTGGAAAATCGACAATTGTTCAGCTTCTTCTTCGTTATTATAATCCAGATGAGGGAAAGGTAGATTTCTGAATTTATTGCTCAAAACTACAGTATCTTTTATTTAGATTACAATTGACGGAATTCCAATTGAAGAGCTAAATATTGAATGGGTCCGTCGAGCAATTGGAGTTGTCAGTCAAGAACCTGTTCTTTTTAATACAACAATTCTCGAGGTATTTATATTTGAAAGTGTTATAAGGGGATATTTCTTGTTTAGAATCTTCGTTATGGCAATCCAGATGCAACAGATGTCGAGATTCAAGCTGCTTTAAGAAAAGCGAATGCTCTGAATTTTATCAATGGATTTCCACAGGGATTGAATACTCTAGTCGGAGATCGAGGTGCACAAATGTCTGGAGGACAGAAACAACGTATTGCTATTGCTCGAGCGCTGTTACGGTAATTGGGAGACCTTTTATGAAATGATTTCTTTGAAGAGATCCCCGTATTCTTCTACTTGATGAGGCTACTTCTGCACTTGATGCTGAAAGTGAGAGTGTCGTACAGGCCGCCCTAGAGAACGTTTGTCTTTTGGGTTTGTTCTTTAATATTGCTGTTTTAGGCCTCAATTGGTCGTACAACTATCGTTATCGCACATCGCCTATCCACAATTCGAAACGCGAATAAAATTATTGCGATGAAGAATGGCAATGGTTTGTGTGTTTTTGTGAGTAAGTTAGTGATTTTCTTAGTTGTGGAAGTGGGAAATCACGAGGAACTCTTGAAGAACAAAGGCCTCTACTATGAACTCGTGAATGCACAAGTCTTTGCTGATGTCGAGCCGAAGGGTGCGTGTCTATTTTCACCTAGCTCTAGTCTCGATTTTTAGGAGGTCGTCGTGGAAGCACAAAGGAAACCACACGCCAAATTTCCAGACAAATGTCACGGAAATCGACGGCGCTCAGCCAAATGGTGGGTTTTGAGAGGAATCATGAACTGAATTATCGTGAGAAAATGTTAGTTCGTCATTATGCTTATTTTCTGAGATCTATGACAACATTTAGGATGCCGGCATTGACGTGGACGAGTTCGACAAGAAGAAGGAGACGGAACTGGAACGGCTGAGGAGAGGTTCTTGATTTTTTGGTTCCCTCTTCAAAAGAATGTTTTAGAAGCCGCCGAGGACGGGGCGGAAGAGCAGAACTTGTTGAAAATCCTGAAATATGCGCGAAGCGGTATGGCAGCAACATATGAAATTATCCTATTTTTTTTAGAATGGTGGCTGCTGGTAATCGGCTCGTTGGCCTGCGTCATCCAGGGTGCCGTATTTCCCGTATTTTCCCTGTTTTTCACCCAGATTATGCAGGTTTGCGGATTATGCCAAGCAAATCGTGATTTTCTTAGGTGTTCGCCGAGCCCGACCCCGAAGTGATGAGAAGGGACGGGCACCATTGGGCGTTGATGTTTCTGGCGCTGGCGGCCGTACAGGTAGATCTCATATAGCAGAACAAGCAATATCAGCGTAAAATAATAATGCAATAATCTATATAAAAACTTTTTAACAATAAACTGTTTAACTTTGAGGGCAGTACCATGCTCATCCAGTCGACGTTCTATGGTGTTGCCGCGGAACGGCTAACGATGCGACTGCGCTCAAAAGTAAGTAGATCACTGATAATTAACTTTTGAAAAAACTAAAAAAAAAACGAAAAGAATCCTTGAAAAAACTATTTCGGTTCTTTAGGATTTCCGGGGGAAACCAAATTTTTCGGCACAAGCCTAAATTTTTTCTAAATAGCGCATGCGTTTCTAAATGGTTTTTAACTATTCCTGAGCATAAAAACTACCCACATTTTAGTTAAAAAATTTAATTTTAGGTCGAAAAATCCTATAGAACCTTTAGGATTAGCGGGGGGAAAGACCCAAAATGACCAATTTTCGACTTTTCAAACATTTTTCTAACTTTTTGAAAGGTTTTCTACTTTAAATATAGTTAAAATTTACTAAAAACAATGTGAAAACACTTTATATTTGATTACCAGGTCGACCGGGAAAACCAGGAAAAATTTGGTTCCCCCGGAAATACTTCCCCCGGAAATCCTAAAGAACCTCTATTTCCATCCTTTAGGTGTTCCGAAATGTCCTCCGCCAAGACGGCGCCTATTTTGATCACCCGGCCCATTCACCGGGCAAAATCTCGACCCGTCTCGCCACCGACGCCCCAAATGTGAAAGCGGTAAGATTGTGACGGCCATTATTAATTGCAAACATCATTTAATTAAAAAAATTCATATTAATACGATTTTGATCTAAGCACAATTTTAAAAACAGGCTATCGACTACCGTATCGGATCCGTTTTTAACGCTGCCGTTGCGCTGACGGCCGGCATTGGAATCGCCTTCTATTATGGCTGGCAGATGGCGTTGCTTAGTGGGTTTTATGAAAACTAAAATATTTTAGAAGATAAATTATACGATCGCTTGTAACTTGAAATTTAAATAAGTTTTGTTTTCTACTTTCCTTCTCGTCGTTTCGTATTTTCCCCCGCTAAAAATAAAATTTTCCTATACAAACTATTTAGTGCTGGCGCTAATGCCTCTCGTTGGCGTCGCCCAATCGCTACGCGTGCGCCTTGAGCACGGCCGTAACAATGCGGACACGTCGGACCTGGAGGCGTCCGGAAAGGTATCTTTCCAGCGATGATATATTGCTTTTTAATATTTTCTACAGATTGCGATGGAAGCCGTGGAGAACATCAGAACCGTGCAGGCATTGACGTTGGAACGGACGTTGCACGATAAATTTGGGCACCATTTGGACGGACCGCACCGGTCGAGTACACGAAAGGCCCTCGTACAGGTTTGTGAACTTACCTGGGGCATCTAGCAATGATTTTTTTAGGAATTTCTCCGGGGCATAAGCTAACAACGGACGTTTCAGGGTGTTGCGTACGCGGTGGCCAACTCTGTAATGTTCTTCCTATCGGCCGCTGAGTATAGATTCGGCGCCTGGCTGATCATGGACCATCACATCAGCAACCCAATTAATGTCATGAGGTTGGACAAAAAATGGTACAAAAACCACTAATCACAGGGTGATGATGGCCATCCAATTCTCGTCCACCTCACTCGGCTTCGCTTCAGCCTATTTCCCGGAATACGCGAAAGCCAAATTCGCGGCGGGACTCATTTTCAAGATGCTGGGCGAAAACCCGTTGATTGACAACCTGACCCGGGGAGGAAAACTCACAGCAAGTTTTGAGTAACTTTTTTTAGTATTTGCACAACATTGCTTACAAAATATTGTATTTTAGCCGATTCACGGTGCGGTGACCTTCAAAGATGTGCGTTTCAAATACCCGCAGCGGCCAGAAATCGAGATTTTGAAAGGTTAAATAAAAGCGAGAATTACGAGCCGGATTTAGGAATGAACTTGAAAGTGAACCCTGGCGAAACACTCGCATTGGTCGGTGCTTCTGGATGTGGAAAAAGTACCGTTGTCCAATTACTCGAAAGATTCTACGATCCAAATAATGGATTCTTGGTATGTTCTTGTTAACAATAACCATTATCGTTTATTTAGGAAGTAGACGGAGAAGATATCAAACAATTGAATCCTCAGCATTTGAGGAAACACATTGCCCTCGTTTCTCAAGAACCGATATTATTCGATTGCTCCATTAAAGTAAGTTCATTAGAAAAGGAAACATTAACTGCCTTTTAGGAAAATATCATCTACGGTTTGCCCGAAAACTCAGTTTCTGATAGCGAAGTGCTGGAAGCGGCTAAGAAAGCGAATATTCACAAGTCGGTTTTGTAGATTGTGAATTAATGGAAAATTCTAGATTTGTGAGCGAATTACCGGACGGATATGAGACACGAGTTGGTGACAAGGGAACACAATTATCTGGAGGACAAAAGCAACGAGTGGCCATTGCCCGTGCTCTCATTAGAAACCCAAAAATATTACTTCTCGATGAGGCCACTTCAGCACTGGATACAGAATCTGAAAAGGTATTTAACAAACAACAACAAAACAATCATCTCTAATCGAATTCTATTTCAGTTAGTACAAGATGCCCTGGATAAAGCATCACAGGGTAGAACTTGTATCGTTATTGCCCATCGTCTATCTACTGTTGTTAATGCTAATTGTATTATGGTCGTTAGCGGAGGGCAGGTTATTGAACAAGGTAAGTTTCGTTTTTAATAGCTTTCTAGCCACAACAAAAATAGATTTTAATAAGTTTTTCTAACAGAAAAACAAGCTAAAAATTACAAGAAACATTTTCAGGCACTCACAACGAGCTAATGGCCCTTCGGGGGGCATATTTCAACCTGAACATCAAACAACAGACCAAACAGCAGGCCGATAATTCCGTGGCCGCCTTTTAACAGTACTAAATTATTTGTATTTTGTCAGCAGAAGGATCTCGGGTTACGCAGCGGGTTTTTATGTTGTTTGATTTCCGTTAACTTTCACTTTTTTCTCAGTGGAGTGCTAGAAGATTTTAATTTGCTCTCAAGACACATTGTACGCCGATTTTTTGGGACGTGATAAACGGTTAAAGGGAAAACGCTGGTAGCACCGCCTCGCCAGACTTGGAAGAAAATTCTATTCAAAACTTGTAATGCCATTTTCCGACCTTTCTATTCTTTGCCCCAGACGGTTTAGTTCAGTGCACAACACAACTCAATGTGCTTTTTCCGTCGGTACCATAGTAAAAAAACCCCATGGATGGGTGAAAATACACGAAGCAGCAAGCTGATAATCGTTGGAAACTCACGTTTGTTTGACCAAAAATTTAGATCCAATCGCCGATCGCTTGTAATTTTGTGGCATTTCTCGCGGAAATTCGATGTTTTTGCTAACGTGAATTACAAAACCCCAATCCTTCAACGTTTTCTACATAAATTGACGCAATCATCTAAAGATCTAGATCCCGTTTTCGAAATTGTTTCTCGATATCAGCCCCTCCCCCCAGATTGCCCATGTCATTTGCAGAGACAAATAAGATACGAGGCCCTGTTTCTATGACTTCTGATCGCTTTTGGAAAGTAAATGAAGCAGCTGGTAGAATGGCCGGAAAACGGCTCCGAACCACACACTTCTAGCCGGTGATAACGACGACTAGAAATTGGCTGAAAAGCCCGGAGAAGTGCGGGTTTGAGATAACCTCCCCCAGAAGACAATGGCAGCGCCTGGTTTTTTTTGGGGAAAACATTCTTGGGGTTTGTTAGGGAAATTTAGCTTTGCATTCGGTGTTTGCGGTTTTTTTAACTTTTCCAATGGTGCTTGAGCATTTTCGGGGGAGGGAGCGGGACGGATTTTTTGTATGATTTCAGAAATCCCCAGTAACATAGTCTAAATATTTTAATAGTGTTCTTAGCAAAATTAAACTATATTCCAAGCGGAAGAAGTATTTAGAACATTTTAAATGTGTTTTACAAAACCGAAATTTCTATATTCTGTATTTTTAATGCAATTTTGTAAAATTTATGTTTTTATGATCAACAAAAAAAATGGCTTAGCAAAACGGCCTCTTGTCAGAAAATCTTAGACAAAAATATACCCCCCGGTAATGCCAATGTACTATTAATCTATCTTAAATCGTGGTCGAAATTTGGGAGGATGTGCGGATATCCAAAAGCGTGAATAAAACAAGCGTTTTTGCGCATCGTTTCTTTAATCTCCTCTTGCACGATTTGAACGATTTTTGCTTTTTTCTATTTATCAAATTTGGTACCACCTTTAATATAATGTTTTCAGGTAATGGGCGCGAAGAAAGCCTCACCGAAAGACCTCGATGACAGTCTGGATGAGAAAAGGTGGGTTATTTTCGGTTTCTTTTTGGCAATTCTGGTAAACCTTAAGTGATTTTGCTCTAGTAAAGTTTTCTCTCTCTCTCTCTCTCTATCTCTCTCTCTCGCTCTGTCTCTCTCTCTCTCTCTCCCTAGATCTCCTCCCATTCCCGCCAGTTTATTTTTCCAGCCCAAACATGATCATTCAGCACCAAAAGCATCACCGAGTGTTTCGAAAGTGCCTCTAGAAAGTAATACAAGCTCTGTGTATCCAAATACGAAACAAGCTGCACCGATCATAAACCTGCAAACGGTCCCGCCCACTTTTCGCGGTTGTGCAATAGGGGGTGCCCCCTCTTCTCTCCATTTTGTGCTTTGTGCCTTCCGGCCACCCACAAGTCACAAACAACACCGCAGCCCCTGGCCTCCGCCGGGTCCAGAAATTGCCGCCCCATAAATGTGGCCCAAATGCGTGAATTATCAGGCGGTGGACTCCAGAAAATTTGCATTCCGCCACCACAAACCAAATTGGGTGTAGGGCGTCAAAGATCAAAATTTTGAGGGGACCGTGATGAAATTGTGTAATTGTTGTTTGGGGAATCGGCAATGATGAAACGCAATTATTACCTGCAAAAATGGACGGAATTATAAACAAAAAGTGTTACTATTTGGAGGCTGAAAGGTGGAGAAGAATTAAAAAAAATTCTAGGAAGCCGCTACAGTATTTAAATTTAAAAAATGGGTGCTGGACGCTTAGCAGGGGGGAACTAATTTTTCCCAGTAATCCTGTACGCTCTACAAAATAATATAAACCCTTCTTATGGCATTTTCCAGAGTTTTTAGATAACAAAACTCACCAACAAATTTTTAAATTTCGAAATTTGCTGACTTTTTGTCAAAAATGTATGAAAAATGACGAAAACAAGCGAAAATTTCCGATTTTAAAAATGTTTACAAAAGTTTTTGTGACTTTCTAGCAGTGAAAACCGTTTTAAAAACACTATTTATTGTTAAAACGTTACTAGCGGGCGGAAAACAAAAATTGTTTTGCCTCCCTGCCAACCTCCCTCCCCCCGGCTAACAGTCCAGTACCGAAAAACGGAATCCCAATACCTCATTTTTAGGCGTTTTTCAGGCGCCAAAATGCAAATTTTCGCGCCCGGGGTTTCCCCTGCAATTCGGGCGACTAGTCATCGCCCAGCCAGCCTTTTTTTTCGGTTTCGTATTTCTGGCGCTACTAGCTGGGGCCCGGGGAATCCATCGTCGACCTCGTTCAGCACTTTTTCGTCTGCTATTCGGTCTCTCTCCCGGCCCGGGGACCCTCCTCCCCCTCCTCTACCCCGCCCCTCCATTGCTCCATTTTTCGCGCGGCCTCAGAATGATCTTTCTGGATCAGAATATCATCCTTAAAATATACCTAGAATCTACCTAAAATCCTACAGTATTTTCTCCTGAAAAGACTAAAAATTTTGAAGAAATTGTCCAAAATCTAGTTTTTCAAGGCGTTTTCATTTTTGTTAGACTTAATTCATGTAAACCCTAAAAATGTAGAGTAGAATATACCTTATGAAAAAAAATTTGAAAAGAAAGGCCAAAACTCTTCATTTTGCTAAGATATTCCTTTTTTGCGGTATGGCCTGCTTCTTTTTCCGCCTAGAAAAGGAATTCGTTTCCCAATTATCTTTTGTAAAGTTTCTATTTAAGTTATCCCACACTTGACACTGCCTCCAGCCCCCCATGGCTCATTCCATATTCTCACACCTGCTCTGGTTTGTGCCGGCCCCAAAAACTCTCATTTCGTTGTTACCCCAAAAAACGAGCGTCATGGAAACGTTTGGGGGAGGGCCGCAATTAGACGATGAGGGCTTCGGGGCTGCGGGTTGGGAATTTTTGATTTTAGTTGATTTTAGGTGCCGGATTTTGGTGGGGAAAAGACTGGATTTCAAGACTTTGCTCTTTTCTTCAATTCAAAAAGACACGGAAAATATTGCCTCGAGCCTTGGAGCAAAATTTTTGCGAGGCCTAAATTATGCTGAAAAAGAGTGACTATGTAGTCATTTTTCGACGTAACCCTGTAACTAACTTTTTTTCATGCAAGTTACTGTTGCTTTCCGGTGACTGCGTTTTGAGTTGTTTCATTGGTCAAACACCCTCTCCATAGGCCCAACTTTGACCGGGCTCCGACATGGGACTCAAGGAAAAGCCTAAGGAGGCGAATGGCCTCGATGTCGACGGGATACCCCTTTTAAAGGGCAGAGATAATAGGTACGGTAATTGGTCTCTCTCTCTCTCACTCTTTCGCTATGTCTCTCATCTCCTTGCTAATTTTCCGTGGCTAAAGTCAATTTTTAGCCAACATCAAAAACACTGATGGACCGTAAATCACAATAAAAACCTTCCTAATAGTAAAATGTAGTCGACAATCCCGGTCCATTTCCAACCCCCATTGCGGCTACTATTTGCGCTGCGTCAGCCCGAGAACCCCCCGAAAAAACCTAGCAAAAAAACGAGACCGATCATCCGGCTTGCGAAATAGCCGACATCGTACGCGCTTGATAAACTATACGATGAGTCACTGGGATGATCTTTTGATACGCGACCAACTCGGGGGGAGGCTCGGAGGATTCTGAAGCGAAAAAAAAGCGAAATTTGATGTTTAGAGGGCGCGAAAAGGTACTACACTGTTAGCGGGGGGAGGGGGGGTAGCGGGGAAACAAAATTTTTTACATAAATCCCGCACGGCCCTTTACAGAAATATAAATCTTTTTGATAGCATTTTACACAGTTTTTAGATATGAAAAGCAAAAGCATTTAAAATTTTTCGAACCTTTTGACTTTTTCGTTGAAACTTTACGAAAAAACATCGGAAAAGGTCCGAGATTTTTCAATTTTTAAAAGTAAAATGTCTTTTACAAATTTCTTGCAATCAAAAACTACTAAAAAACTATAAAAAGATACCACAGGCACCCCCACCCCCCCCGCTAACAGAGCAGTACTGCCGAAAAGAGAATAGTAATGAGCGGGGGAAAATATGAAGTGAAAAGTAATAAGCTATAGAAGATAAAAGTTATTTGAATCATTATCAAACTCTTTTTAGCAGCGAGAAAACCGTCGAGTCGCCAGATCTCGATGCCAAACGCGCCACCGTCTTTCAATTGGTGAGTTGAGCCGTTTGGAATTATATATTTTCGCTTTTTAGTACCGGTACGCCTCGTGGTTTGACATCTTCCTGGTGCTTCTCGGATGCGCAGTGGCCATCATCACGGGTCTAGGGTTCCCATTTCTCTCCATTATTATCGGGTATGTTTTTAATGGTATACCTTGGATTTAAACTTTTTAGCGACGTCTCCCAGACGTTCATCGTGCTGGAAAATGCTCGTTGTATGTTTATTTTTCAAATTTCGTTTTTCTAGATATAGCGGCGGTTTTAGTTTGACCGAAAACCTACAAATTTGTTTAGTTTTCACTTTTCTTCCTTCATTCCTTTTATCTATATTTTCCAGTGCAATACGAGCGCAATTTGACTGATGATACGGCACTCAAGGAGGCGATGAGCACGTTCAAACACGATGTTATTCAGGTAAATAACGCTAAAATTAAAGAATTTCGCCATTTTCAGGCTTGCATCAAGTATGCGGTCATCGGCGCTGTCATTATGGCCTCTTCTTTCACGCAGGTGATTTTTACGGTCGGTTTTTATCGATTTTTAGATCACTTCATTCATGCTGAGCTGTGAGAATGTGACAAATCGGATGCGAAGGGCTTTCTTCAAGGTAAGCTACTATTCTTGAACCTAATAACCCGTTAAATCTAGGCGATCATGCGACAAGACATCACCTGGTACGACCGAAACCACTCCGGCACGCTGGCCACCAAGCTTTTCGAGTAAGTAGACCTTAACTTTGCTTTTGAAACGGATAACGCATTCGAATTTGATTTGATTGTCTTTTTAGTTCGATGGAACGAGTTCGGGAGGGTCTCGGTGACAAGTTGGGACTGATGGTGCAGTTTACGGCGCAGGTAAGCTAGCTGGTTTGGGTTTTTTCGCTGGCTCAGTCGTTTTCTAAAGGAAACTTTAAAAAAATCGTGTTTTTAGTTCTTCGGTGGTCTTACCGTAGCCTTGACTTATGACTGGAAGCTGACGCTGATCATGATGTCGCTTTCGCCAGTTCTGATCATTTGTGGCGGTTTTATGGCTCGGGTAAGCTTGACATTTTAGTATAATTATAGATACTTTGAAAGTACCCTAAAAGAACTGTTTGACATCTCCTGACGCTTTCAGCTAATGGCTTCCGCAACAGCCGCCGAGATGAAAAAGTACGCGGTGGCTGGCCAAATTGCTGAAGAAGTCCTAACCTCGATCAGGACTGTATTTGCCTTCAACGGCCAAGAAAAGGAATGCCAAAGGTACTTTATCCCTTTAAAAGCTAACCTTTTCCTAGATACGACAAGGCTCTGGAAGCCGGCAAACTGGACGGGTACAAGAAGTCGGTGTATATCGGCGCTGGCCTGGCCTGTACCTTCGTGGTCATCTTCTCCTCGTATTGTCTGGCCTTCTGGGTCGGCACCGATTATATCTACTGGGGAATGGCGACATCTTCTAAAGTATTAACGGTAAGTATTATTTAATAAATCCTCGTTATCATTCATTCAGGTGTTCTTCTCGGTGATGATGGGTTCAATGGCCATGGGTCAAGCTGGTCAACAATTCGCCGTTTTTGGAGTGGCTCTTGGAGCTGCTGGAGTTGTTTTTCAAGTTATCGATCGGGTAAGCTAGGCTTTTTTCAAATCGATAATTTTACCATTTAGGAGCCAGAAATCGATTCCTATTCCGAAGAGGGCCAAAAGCCGAAACAAATCCGCGGCGAGGTCCGAGTGGAAAATCTTCATTTCCGCTATCCATCCCGAAAAGATGTCCCAATTCTGAAGGTACATCACTGTCCACTTTACGATTCGATATTCTGCCCTAACTACAGTATATTCTTCAATTATTTTAGGGAATCTCATTGACATGTGCCCCGGGTGAAACTGTGGCTTTGGTTGGATCATCTGGATGTGGAAAATCGACAATTGTTCAGCTTCTTCTTCGTTATTATAATCCAGATGAGGGAAAGGTAGATTTCTGAATTAATTTCTCAAAACTACAGTATCTTTTATTTAGATTACAATTGACGGAATTCCAATTGAAGAGCTAAATATTGAATGGGTCCGTCGAGCAATTGGAGTTGTCAGCCAAGAACCCGTTCTTTTTAATACAACAATTCTCGAGGTATTTATATTTTAAAAGGTTATTTAAAGGAATATTTCTTGTTTAGAATCTTCGTTATGGCAATCCAGATGCAACAGATGTCGAAATTCAAGCTGCTTTGAGAAAAGCGAATGCTCTGAATTTTATCAATGGATTTCCACAGGGATTGAATACTCTAGTCGGAGATCGAGGTGCACAAATGTCTGGAGGACAGAAACAACGTATTGCTATTGCTCGAGCGCTGTTACGGTAATTGGAACACCTTTTATGGAATGATTTGTTTGAAGGGATCCTCGTATTCTTCTACTTGATGAGGCTACTTCTGCCCTTGACGCAGAGAGTGAGAGTGTTGTACAGGCTGCCCTCGAAAATGTCGGTGTTACAACTTTTTTCGACATGTGTTTTTTAAGGCTTCTGTTGGCCGTACGACACTTGTGATCGCGCATCGATTGTCAACTATTCGTAATGCCAACAAGATTATTGCGATGAAAGAAGGACAAGGTTAGTTACCACTTTCCAGGCTTATAATATTATTATTTTTAGTCGTCGAAGTTGGTACCCACGACGAGCTACTCGCGCTCAAGGGTTTCTACTACGACCTGGTCAACTCACAAGTATTCGCGGATGTTGAGCCGAAGAGTATGCTTATAGCTAACAAACACCTTACCATATTCCTAGGCGGACGACCAACCACCGGACGCCAGACGTCACGCCAGCTCTCCCGACAACTCTCTCAAAGCTCGACAGCTCGCCAAAGCGTGGTGAGTATGCACAATACTTGAGAGTTTCACCCCTGAGAATTTTAGGACTATGGCGATGATGTTATTGATGAGGCGGATAAGAAAAAGGAAAGCGATATCGAACGCCTGAAACGAGGTGTGTCTAAAGTTTGAAACGTATCGACCGTATCGTATTTAGAAGCCGTTGAAGAAGGGGCCCAAGAACAAAGTCTCTTCAAGATTCTGAAGTACGCAAAGAGCGGTAGGTGACCCAACTTTTGACCAAATGTTTTTTTAGAATGGTGGCTGCTGGTGGTCGGCTCGGTCGCCTGCATCATCCAGGGCGTCGTGTTCCCGGTTTTCTCGCTGTTTTTCACCCAAATCATGCAGGTGAGGGGAATTAATAAAAGCGTGTATTTCTGGACACTTTCTTATCCCGGATGGACCGAAAACGACACTGATTTTTCTAGGTATTTGCCGAGCCGGACCCCGAACAAATGCGACGTGACGGTCACAAATGGGCGCTGATGTTCCTTGTGCTGGCTGCCGTCCAAGGATCCACGATGCTCATCCAGGCAACCTTCTATGGAATTGCCGCTGAAAAGCTGACGATGCGGTTGCGTTCAAAGGTTTGTTTTGAAATATCACTGCCTGTTTTCAAAATATCGAAATCGCCGACAACATCACCAAAATGATTCAGGTATTCCGCAATGTCCTCCGCCAAGACGGCGCTTATTTCGACCACCCATCCCATTCGGCCGGCAAAATCTCAACTCGCCTCGCCACTGATGCGCCGAATGTCAAGGCTGTAAGCAAGAACTTTTTTTGCTTATCCTAAAAAAATTTAGGCTATCGATTATCGTCTCGGCTCGGTCTTCAACGCTGCAATCGCTTTGACGGCTGGTACTGGAATCGCCTTCTATTATGGGTGGCAGATGGCACTGCTCAGTAAGTTAAAAAAGCGAGGCGGACTACGATCTTATTAAAAGCAGTTATTAATAAAAAACCAATAGCATGGAAAATTAAATGAAAAGCATAAGCGTGGAACCCAATTTTAGTGCTTGCCCTGATGCCAATTCTGGGCATTGGCCAATCGCTCCGTGTCCGCCTCTTCCAGGGCCGCAACAACCGCGACACCTCCGATTTGGAATCATCCGGAAAGGTATCGATCTAAACTTAACTCCAAATCTCGATACTTTTGAGATCGCCATGGAAGCCGTGGAAAACATTCGAACCGTTCAAGCCCTGACGCTCGAGCGGACGATGCACGCCAAATTCTGCCACCACTTGGATAAGCCACACGAAACGAGCAGGCAAAAGGCGGTGCTCCAGGTGCGTCTGATGAACAGAAAAAACAAACTCATTTCAGGGCTGCGCTTATGCTGTGGCCAATTCCTTGATGTTCTTCATGTTTGCCGCTGAATTCCGCTTTGGTGGCTGGCTGATTATGGACCATCATATCACCAATCCAATCAACGTCATGAGGTTCAAATAAGCTCTATTCGCCAAATTCTGATTCAGGGTCATGATGGCCATCCAGTTTTCGTCGAGCTCTCTCGGCTTCGCTTCAGCGTATTTCCCGGAATATGCCAAGGCGAAGTTCGCGGCCGGGCTCATTTTCAAGATGCTGGGAGAAAGCCCGTCGATTGACAATCTGAGTCAAGGTGGCAAGAGGACTGTAAGGATCTTTAATTTAGCTGAATCTAACTTTTTCCTAGACTATCCACGGAGCTGTCAACTTTAAGGACGTTAGATTCTGCTATCCTCAACGGCCGGAAGTTCAAGTGCTGAAAGGTAAAGAAGGAAATTACTGAAAAGCAGCTCATTGGTTTAGGAATGAACTTGAAAGTAAACCCTGGCGAAACACTGGCATTGGTCGGTGCTTCTGGATGTGGAAAAAGTACCGTTGTCCAATTACTCGAAAGATTCTACGATCCGAATAATGGATTCTTGGTATGTTCTTGTTATCAATAATCATTATCGATTATTTAGGAAGTAGACGGAGAAGATATCAAACAATTGAATCCTCAGCATTTGAGGAAACACATTGCCCTCGTTTCTCAAGAACCTATATTATTCGATTGCTCCATTAAAGTAAGTTCATTAGAAAATGAAAACAATAACTGCCTTTTAGGAAAATATCATCTACGGATTGCCCGAAAACTCAGTTTCTGATAGCGAAGTGCTGGAAGCGGCTAAGAAAGCGAATATTCACAAGTCAGTTTTGTAGATTGTGAATTAACCAAATTTTTTAATATCTTCTTTCCTCCCCCCCCCCTTCCCCTCTCCCCCCCCCCCCCCCCCCCCCCCCCCCCCCCCCTCCCCCCCCCCCCCCCACCCCCCCCCACAAAAACCCCCCCCAAAACACCCAACCCCCCCCCCCTTTCCTTTCACCCCCCCCCCCCATACCCCCCAAAACCCCCCCAAACCCCCCCCCCCCCTTCCCTCTTCCCCCCCCCCCCCCCCACACCCCAAAAAAAAACCAACCCACCCCCCCCCCCCCTTGTCCCCCCCCCCCCCCCCCCCCCCAAACCCCCCCAAAAAAAAAAAAAAACAACACCCAAGGAGAGGAAGGAAAAAAAAAAAAAAAAAAAAATTTATAAAATAAATCCCCCCCCCCCCCCCCCCCCCTCTCCCCCCCCCCCCCCCCCCCCCCCCCCCCCCCCCCCCCCCACCCCCTTTTTTTAAATTTAAAATTTATAAATTAAAATTTTAAATTAAATTTATTTTTTTTTTTTTTTTTTTTTTTTTTTTTTTATTTTTTTTTTTAAAAACCATAATCCTATTCTTTTTTTTTTTTTTTTTTTTTTCTTTTAAATTTAATTACCCAAAAAACAAAAAAAAAAATAAACTCCACTATTTATGGAAAATTCTAGATTTGTGAGCGAATTACCGGACGGATATGAGACACGAGTTGGTGACAAGGGAACACAATTATCTGGAGGACAAAAGCAACGAGTGGCCATTGCCCGTGCTCTCATTAGAAATCCAAAAATATTACTTCTCGATGAGGCCACTTCAGCACTGGATACAGAATCTGAAAAGGTATTCAACAAACAACAACAAAACAATCATCTCTAATCGAATTCTATTTCAGTTAGTACAAGATGCCCTGGATAAAGCATCACAGGGTAGAACTTGTATCGTTATTGCCCATCGTCTATCTACTGTTGTTAATGCTAATTGTATTATGGTCGTCAGTGGAGGGCAGGTCATCGAGCAAGGTATTGGCAAAGTCATCAAATACCGATGATCGTCCATTTTCAGGCACTCACAACGAGCTGATGGCGCTGCGTGGTGCCTATTTCAACCTGACCCTCAAACAACAGACGAAACAAGGCGAACACGTTGCTAGCTTCTAATTTTGTTATATTGTTTTACAGTGTATGCACTCTTCGTTGTCTTTTCTATATCGGGTAATGCCCCCCAAATATCCGGTCCTGCTGTACCTGTCTGACTGATCTCTCCACAAAGTGATTTTCCCCCGGTTGTATCCTGAATAAATTTTACTTCTCGAATTAAATTAGTCAACGTTGGAATTTCATGAATAACAAAACAACCGATGAGATCGTACATAAATACAAGACGGCTGTTAAAATCGTGAATCGTCCTTCGGATATGCTTTGATAATACGGACGGGAATCTGGGGCTTGTCACTGTTGTCCGTGTCAACGCGGCCGATGTTCTGGACGACCTGGAAACGAGAATTTTACAAACTAGGGCTTGCAAACCTTCATTCCTGCTGCGATTCTTCCAAATATCGCATGTTTCCCGTCTAGATGTTGCTGCGGCGAGAGGGTGATGAAAAATTGAGAGCCATTTGTGTTGGGGCCGGCGTTTGCCATGGAAAGAATACCTGAAAAAGATAATATTTTATGCCAAAAAATCCCTACCAGCTCCCGTATGTTTCAATCGCTCGTCGATTTCATCGGCAAAACGATCCCCGTAAATCGACGCACCGCCACGGCCTGAAAAAGGAAATGTTTTTTCATAGAGGTCCATGGCACAAACAAACCTAACTTCGGGGCAAAACAGTAACTTTTTGCCCCAAATCTTGTTCACGAAACGAACCTGTGCCTGTCGGGTCGCCGCCTTGAATCATGAACCCAGTGATAATTCGATGGAAGACTGTGTTGTTGTAGTATCCTCTTCTTGCCTAGGAAACATTTTCACACAAAAAATTAGTCTACCTACCAATTCTGAGAAATTTTTGCATGTCTTCGGCGCGTGTTTCCAATAAAGTTCGATGGCGATCTTGCCCATGCTGAATGAAAGGTATTTCCTAACCTAAAATGAACGGACCTAGTTTCGAAGATGACGAAGGGGATTTCTCCAGACCCGTCGTACGCCATCTAAAAAGGTAGAGTTATAAAAGTAACGAAAAACAAATGTTTATTTGAAGAAAGACACGAAAAAGAACGACTTTTTATTTGATTTCCGAGATTCGAAAAATTCGGGCGAGCTAAATGCCGTGCGGCTACTACGGACACTTCCATTGTATGCCGGTCGGCTTTGAGAATTGTGCGTAGCCGGCAACACCGCCGACTTTGCAAAAATTGCTTGAAAAGCCGAAAATGAACTTTATTATTAACTTTTTTTGTTGATAAAAAAAGATTTTGAATTATAGAATTATTATTGAAGATAGAAATTGGCTATTATAATTTTGACCGAATTGACTCTTTATCAGTACCGCTCTGGATAACTTTCTCTTCGATTTCAGTTATTTTTTTGTCCCGCAAAATCACAACTTTTTCAGGGAACAAACTTGAGGATGCTCCGAGCTGGAACTACCAAGCTGGCCACGGCCGCCGCCCTGCCCATCTGCGAGCAGCAGCGTGGAATGGCTACCCTGAAGGATATTTCGCTCCGACTGAAGTCTGTCAAGAACATTCAGAAGATCACCAAATCCATGAAGATGGTGGCAGCTGCAAAATACGCGAAGGCTGAGCGTGACCTGAAGGGAGCCCGCTCATATGGAGTTGGCGCCAAGGCCTTCTTCGACAACATCGACCCCAAGACCGAGGAGGCCGCCGGAGAGACGAAGAAGAAGCAGCTTCTCGTGCTGATCACTTCTGATCGTGGCCTGTGCGGTGCCGTGCACTCCTCGATCGCCAAGGAGGCCAAGAACATCCTGAACCATAAGGCCGCCGATGTTGACTACAAGCTCGTTACGATCGGTGATAAGTCCAAGGCCGCGCTCCAGCGTGTCTTCGCCAGCACCATCGCGCTGTCCGGAAATGAAATCGGCCGAACCCCGCCCAGCTTCGAGGATGCTGCCATCGCCGCCCAAGCTATTTTGGACTCCGGGATTGAATTTGATGAGGGCACCATCCTCTTCAACAAGTTCAAGACTGTCGTGTCTTACCAGACGTCCAAGCTACCTATTCTCCCGCTGGAGGCCATCAAGGCAAAGGAGGCGCTGAACACCTACGATTCGGTGGATGACGACGTTCTCCAGTCGTACAGCGAATACTCCTTGGCTCAGCTGATCTACTACGCGATGAAGGAGAACGCCACCTCTGAGCAGAGCTCGCGTATGACTGCTATGGATGGCGCATCTAAGAACGCCGGCGAGATGATTGACAAGCTGACCCTCGCTTTCAACCGCACCCGTCAAGCTGTGATCACCCGTGAACTTATTGAGATCATTTCCGGAGCCGCTTGTGTTTAAATGTCGACTGAATTTCCAGTTCCCACCTTCGATCGACTGTTTTCTGGCTTGTATGAGCGTCCCCTAACCGTCATCTCTTGTTTTTCCTATAGCCGAACTGTGTTGTCTCGTAAACTAGATTCAATTAGTGTTAATTTCTTTATGGACGTTTTCTTTAATGAAGAATAAATTTATAGGTGACTACCCGACTTCGGCTAGATGGGTCGGTTGGACGATGATCAGTCACCATGCTCTTCAAAGTAGTTGTTTCGACACTGACACAATCTCAAATTTAGGGGGGTTAGTATGAACAAAGACAAATGGAGCGAGCGCGAAGCCAAGCAATTAAAGGTATATTTATCGTTGCGCCAATGTATTTTCGGCATGTTTAGGATAGTCTCTCCGCGAAATTTGAACCGTCGAACAGTCGCCGTAGGCCGAGAACATCATCAAATTCTATGATGGTAATTAATTTTAGCATATCGTACTCTTTTTTTTAGCAGCCGCTGAAAATCGAGATTGATGAAACGAAGGATGGATCATATTCCTCACCAAAGCGCTCAAATCCAACGGAGAAGGTCTGTTTGACTAACCATCCCGAATCATTTCAAATTTAGTTAATCGACGCACTTTCGCCGAATTTCGCGGCGCTATCTGAAAAACGTCGCTGCGTGCAACCTGGAGAGTATCGGCGGTTGCTGGATGGGCGCAAATCTCCGTCCCAGAAGCCATCTACTAGCAGTGAGTGCTAAAATTTTGTGCTATGAGAATCGGGCATACGTTCGTAACCAACGGGCAGTTTGTAGCACTCTGTCGTATTTTTATTCACTTGACGATGACGTAAGCAGTTGTACAAAATGGCGCAAAAATACGAGGCCGGAAACTTCCCATTTCCCGGGGCGGCGCCCAGATTTGTAGTCGCAAATGGTTCTTACCCAGAAAATCTGCTAATTACGCCCATGGCCGTCGGGGAGAATACGTGTTATTACTAATTCATCCAGCCAAGCCGATCACTGGATATTTTATTCTTTTAGTGGATAGTCCTGGCGGCGCTTCTGACAGCAGCATCCACTCTTGTTCTTCAGCAGACGGTATTACAAATTTGTATTTTAAAACTTGGCTTCGTTTTTTAGAAACCAATGAGGTCGGATTTGAAGGGAGCTCGTTAATCGAGACGACTCGCGGTCAAAGCCCATCGAAGAATCCGGGGAGCTCCCGTCACAGAGACGCAGACGAAGAGACCCCAGTTCTGCGCACCAGTGGTCGGGTGGGTTTTGCCTCTTTAGTAATTGGTGTGGCCCTGCCTGGCCTGTCTGCCCATTTGGGCCGCCTCTCCGCTGCCCACTAATCCGCTCCTATTCACCCCCCAATGCTAGCGCCGTCAACAGCGATATACCTTTTCCATTATGAGATTTTCTTGGAGCCTAGCTTAGTGGGAATGTTTCTGGGTTCTTAGTGTAGTAGTCTAAGTTAGTAGTAGCCTTAATTTTGCATGAGATTGTGATATTCCAGCCACGTCGATCATCCGATGCCGTCCGGGCGGCATCTGGAGGTTCCGGGATGAGGCACAAGAGCACGAATGAATCGTCCACCCGACGGAAGGGTCGGAATTCACGGCTCGCAAAGGAACTGCGCAAAGTGGTGGGCTTACTTTTTTTTTTACCTACAACCCTAATCTGCTGATTTCCTAACCATTGAAGTCGAAAATTTCAGAATGACTCCGGATATTACATTACTAATCTATTTTGACTCATTTTCTATCACTGCTATTGCTGCAGCAACATTTAACACTTTTAGGGCGTCGGCTCTCGCACTACCCAAAATAGTGCTTCAGCGGCTTTGTTCGGGACCCCGGTGAAGGAAATCAAAACGGAACCCGCTGAACCGGTCAGCCGGCTCATCCTTCATAAATTTCAGTTTTTTAGTCACCTTCTCCGCCGCCGACACAGAAGCGCGTCCGAACGCCGAGGCTGCCCCACTCGCCCCCGTTCCAGCCAAGGCATTGACCGACTTACGGGCCGCTAATTCATTATCTTTGCAGGAAGATTCTCCGAAATACCAGTCAAAGTGCCTCGGAAAGCAGTGATGAGCGAAGAGCCACTCCGATTTCCATGGTAACGATTGTGCTTTGCTGCGAATTAAACTATATTTTTTAGAAGCCGGACACATCTAAGAAGGGAGCCAAGCAGAATGTTCAAAAACGGTAAAAATTTTAACATTTGTCCCGGATTTTTCCGATTCAACTCTAGTAATGCAAAAAAAACTTTCGGGTAATCGGGCGCTAGTTTGTCAAGACTATTTATTCGAAGCAGCCATTTCCGCAACAATGTACCTCTCCGATTAGTGATGCTTGAGATAGACGAAATCCCCGTGGTGATCATCCTGGTGCTTGTCGTGCTCGTATCCATGTTGATGATCATCGCCATGGTGGTCGTCGTGCTTAGTGTAGTGCTGATCGTGATGGTCGTACTGTTGATCATAGTGGGGCTCGTAGTGCGAATCTTGTCCGTGGTAGTGGGAGCTGAAGATTATAAGGGTTGGCCGTTATCTTACAACAAACTGACTTGTATGGCGAATATTTCTCTTGATGGGGTTCATAATAGCCATAGGTAGAGTAGGGGGTGTAACCGTAAGGGGCTTGCTCATGGTGGAATTCGGTGCCATAGCTATGCGGAGCGTATGGGGTGTAGTGAGAATTGTGATCATCTGAAAATTGGCTTTTGTAGTTACAATCAAAAATATTTTTTTAATGGTTGAATTTGATCGGTCCTCTCTCTTACTTACCATGATACGGGGTGTACTTGTAGCCTTGACCATGATCATTGCCTGTTCCGTAATACTTGCCGTACTCGGCGCCCTTGGCGTAGTGTCCTATAATTCAGGCGATCAAGATGTAGTGCTCGCACTCACCATTTCCTCCGTATTTGAACGTTCCATATTCCTTGTGCTCGCCGTTTTCGTAGCCCTTTTCATAGCCTTCCTTGTATGAGCTGCCGTAGTGGCTCTCGTGGCCTTTCTCGGGTGCTGAAATGGTGATGAATTTTTGATGGTGAAAAATCGCTGTTATACGGGGCAAGGCTCACAATAATGCTCGTAATAATATGGAGCAGCCATCGCTCCGCAAATGCCGGCGGCAAGCATAGTGAATTTGAGGGAGACCATGCTGCTGATCGGGTTCAGGCATTTCTTGTGGCAGACCTTGACTTTTTATACTGTGCAAGTAGGTCGCGCATTCCACAGCTGCCGCCACAGTCTTCCACGTTTTTGTGGCACCCTTTGTCCAGCGGTGTTTGTTAGTAGGAATTTGTATCTCCGGTAGGAAGCGTATAAATGTGTTTCTGGGTTGTTTCGGGGAGTTTCTGACAAAAAGACTCCATTAGAAATACCAGTGATAATTAGGCAGCAAATTTTTTTATGAAAAACAAAACTCCTTTCCAGAGAGCGTTCACCTCCCGAAGAATTAAATGAGAGCTTCTTGGTCGAGCCCGACTCCGAGCGCGTCTTCATGGAGATAACGCAGAAGAACCAAGAAGAACTGGACTCGGCGATGACCTTAATTCAAAAAGAGATGAAACAACATAAGACCTCTGAAATACCGCTACTTCCGAAGGCAATTAGAATCGGTAGTGATTGCCCGTTTTTTTTATATATTTTGTTTTTCAGGCAAGTACGAGATCAAGTCGTGGTATAGCTCGCCGTTTCCAACTGAATACGCGCATGCGCCGGTCGTGTTCATCTGCGAATTCTGCTTGAAATATGTGCGTACGTACGAGCTGCTGGTGCAACACATTGGCAAATGCCCGCTCTACCATCCGCCCGGCAATGAAATTTACCGCAGCAACGGCCATTCGGTTTTCGAGGTGAGACTTCCCAATATTCGCTTGATGATTTCCCTTAGGTTGATGGTGCGTTGGCGAAAACATACTGCCAGAACCTCTGTCTGCTCTCCAAATTGTTCATCGACCACAAGACGCTTTACTACGACGTCGAGCCGTTCCTTTTCTATGTGTTGACGCAGAACGACGAAAATGGGCACCATTTTGTCGGATACTTTTCAAAGGTACACCCGCTTCTGAAATGTACCTACTAATTTCATTTTAGGAGAAGAATTCGGTGAACTGGAATCTTTCCTGTATCGCGACACTGCCCTGCTATCAGAAATCCGGATATGGCCGCTTTTTGATTGCCTTCAGTAAGTCGGCGAATAGCAACGATCTAATTTATCGTTAGGCTACCTCTTGACGCGACGCATGGGGACGACCGGCTCGCCGGAACGGCCACTTTCACGCATGGGTCTGCTGGCCTATGCGCCGTATTGGCGGGAAGCCGTGTTGGAATGGACGAAGAAGCATCGGAAACGGGACAGCAATGACAAATTTACTGTCAACGGTACTGGTTATCGATCGGGAAGATTAAAGAGGGGGGGGGGGCTCTTTTTGAAACCCCCCGGGGGGGGGGGTAAAGGGGGCCCGGGGGGCCCCCGGGGGGGGGGGGGCCCCGGGGGGGGGGGGGGGGGAATTTCCCCCCCCCCGGGGGGGGGGGGGGCCTCCTCCCCCCCCCTCTTAATTTTGGATTCTAGCCATCGCCTCCGCGACCGGCATCCGCCCTAGCGACATCATTTTCATCATGGATCACATGGGGTGGCTGTCAAGCGAGAACCGGGATTCTTCACCGTAAGCTTTTAGCTGGCATGAATAATTTTTTAGAACTTCTAAAGGAATATAGTAATCGTTTTTGGATTAAACCAAAATGTCATTACATAGAAATTTCAATAACCCTTAGTACATCAAGATTCTATTAATTTAATTTTCAGTTCATCCCGCTCCATCGAGGTCACGATCAATTGGCACGAAGTCGACGAGCACTGGGAGCAGAGCAAGAAGCCCAACGCTTTCTTGAAGCTTGACGAGCTGGCTTTGCAGGTATACCGATTTTCGTAGTGACATACGGGGGGCGGAAACCGTTTTTGTTTCTAGACGTTCTATCGATGATCACGTACCCACTAGCACCCATTCGTGTCGTCGTCCCCCATTAAAGCCTTTTCACCATGTTTTTGCTAATCTTAGTTGAGTGCCGTGTGTAAATGTCCTTTGTCGTTGTACTGTTTGCACAAATATTTATAAATCTTTTTTTTTGTGTTGCATGGTTGATGTGATAAATGTGTACTTTTTGATGGCTGGTCGGTAGCGCGGAATGGTGGGCAAGTGGTTCAGCGCATTTGCAACGCTTCGGTGGGCGAGGGGCTACATGGCTTGCACTGAGACGAGGGCCTTGCAGCGCTTGTGTCCTTGCTGCGCTTGGAGAGCAGCTACTCGCTGTCGGAGTTATTTGGAGACTACCGAGACAACGGTTCGGCAGTTCTTGGCGGGTGTTGTGTTGTGTCTTTGAAGGTCGGCGTGGGAAATTACATCATACAAAAAACCTAGTCTACATCTTATCAAGCCATATTTCAGTGGAAACCCGGCGTCTTTGCCCAACGCACCACTTTTGTGCGCCCCGCGCCACGAGTCGACACACGAAGCCCAACGTAAGTTTGTGGGAGCAGGTCGGAATATTTTTTTCTGCTTATCCAGCCTGATAAATTAAACTGAATTGAATTAATCGGGTGCTTCAGCCATCGGCGTTCCGGATCTTTGCCGTACATCGGCGGGACGGGCAGCACACCTAATGGCCGAAGCATTGCCTCGGTCGGCTCGACGGTGAAGGATGGCATCGGACGGAGGAGAGCGGATCGCCGGAAGAAGGCACGTGAGGATACGACGGAAGATGATCAGGACGACCTCAAGGAGTTACCCAGAAAGGGCGGGCGCTCTTGTAATCCACGTGAGTTTTGCGTCGGTCTGGTTACGTTTCCGTTGGCACACCTTTATTGCTCGTCTCCTCAATTCTATTTTCAGTGATCAACCTCGGATTACGCAAAAAGAAGGAGGACGATTCTGACGATGAGGAGGAAAAGTCGAATCCATCCGCACGGCGACGGTTGCCACTCGGTCGGCCGGCCGGTCTGAATAAGAAAGGACCACGAGCAGCCAGTAACGAGAAGAAGCCGGCTCAGGGCGCGCGCAGTGCCGGTGGCACTGGGCGGAAGAAGGCCGTGTTCGAGGAGGACAGCCCGGTTGAGCAAAGCTCGTCGTCGTCAAGTGGTGGGTGGATATTGAGCTTTAAAAAAGCCTAAAGAGCATGCAAGTTCGTAAGCTAAAAACTTTCATACTTTTTCAGACTCCGAGGACGAGCCGTATCGGGTGCGCAAAAACAGCCAAAAGAGCTCGAAAAAAGGCCCAACCGTCAACGCGACGAACGTGAAGCCGAAGGGCCGAGGTCGACCTCCTAAGGCCAAGAAGCCGCAGCAGCGTAGCCCTGGAAAGGTCTTTCCGCCAAACTACGGGCGCAGAGGGCGTTCCAACACGCCGCCCAAATCCCCGACGACGCCTGTGCAATGCGCGAGTGTGGCAACGAGCGTTGGCACCGATGGCACGGTCCCGATGCGAATGGGCGAGGCGGCGCCGAGCAGTCCGGGCGGCGGCCGAACGATGGCTGACGTCGGCGGGGATGACTCTGAAGATGGCGTAAGTTATATCGATTGATTTGGCAGTTTTAGGTATTTTGAATAGGTTTAATCTGTTTTTCAGGGCCAACCCCCACTCCCGACGTCTTTACCGAGACCGCCACCTGATCCGCCGGAAGAAGATGGGCCTCACGCTGAACAACGTTCTTCCCGCGGCGTGACATCGAGCCTTCGGTCCGAGTCGCGCCACTCGAGCCAGTCCAACTTTCGGCAAAAGGCCAGTCGGGCGTCGAGCACGGATAGTTCGCGAAGCAGAAGTATCGTGGAATCGGACGACGATCATATCCGGCACAGGTGAGTGGACGTTAGGATTTTGAAACTTTTTAACTTTTTAACAAAACGGAATTTTAACATAGAAAATGTCACTTTTTCTAATATCTGATATGTCGGCAGCGACCTTTAAGGTTTTTCACAACGCATACATGCGCTAAAATCCTTTGCTAATCCGATAGCACTAAAAACAGCTGACTGAAACTAAATTTTTATAAACATTTTAATAGCTCAGCCACTATTTTTTTATATATTAATCATGATTTTCAGGCCAAGCTCCCCAGCGTCATCACTATCTTCCCTGGACGATCGTTGGCGGGAGAGCCCGCGGCCTCTCGGCGACCTCTTCCCCACCCATACCGATACCGTGAACATGGGCGGCGTGCCGGATATGGACGACGACGAGCCATCAGGCAGCGGGTAACGAAGCTTTGGTTTTTTAAACTTACGCCAAATTATTACCCCTACCCACTTTCCGATTTTTTTCATCTCAGTTAGTTGGCTATGTCTTATTTTTTTCAGCTATACTATATTATTGCCAACACAATTGACATGCCAAACATTTCGGTCTCGTTTAAAACACGGTAGCTTAAAAAAAGCGGGTACATCTACTGAAATTCTCCTCGAAAATACACGTTTATTTAGTGACGCCGCTTCCAACGACGAAGCGCCCCCGGTGCTCAACGTTGAACCTATTGGTGCCGCCGAGCCGATGAGCAGCGGCGGTCTGCCCCCCGTCGCCACACTGCAAATGGCACCATCACCAATACGTAATAGCTGCTCCTAAATTTCCTTACCGCATTCTATTTGCAGGCAATCGTCCGCTGTCCATCCCCGCATTTGACGACGACGACGACGCGCCGCCCCAGCTATCCCCGAATATCATGGTGCGTGCTGAATTAATTTTAATTGGGATTTTGGGCTCAATTTGATTGGATAACGCTCGATTTAGGACGAGAAAAACGACACGGCCACGTCGAGCAAATCCGTCACCGCCCACGACGTGCCCGATGTAAGTGGGAGATCGTTAGATCGAGCTTATTTTGCAAATTTAGGGTCATTAAACGGTTTTTTTTTGCAGAGCGCAATGGACCGCCCGCCCAAGGCCCCGGCAATGCTGTCGCACCCAATCGAGGATGAGGTAAGCAGGCTCTTTTCTGCAGTTTCTGCATTTCATGCAGCGAGCCATATAGCTATTTTTATCTCGTGGTGAAAACGACAATCGTTTTTGCAGGATCCGATCCCGGAAATACACCACAGCTTGCCCGGACTCTCAAGTGGCTTGCCGCCCGTCTCGCAACAGATCCAGATGACGCCCCAGTCACAGCATACGCTACAATATCCAGGGTTAGTTGCAGGGGGGAGCTAGCGAAAACGGTGCAAAGACAGGATTTCATGCATAAAATGAAAATTGCTTATTTGAGAACGCCTAATTTCATAGTTTCGGTATCATAAAAATTTCCCCTATTTTAGGAGTGGCGGCGGGATGCTGGTCATGGATTTGGGGCAAGCGACACCGGGCAGCGTGGGACAGCTTTGTGCCCCGGGAAGTGTCCATCAGACCACGCCGGAGATGCCGCAATTTATGAGCCCGCCGCAGATGCAGGTTGGGCTATTAGAAATCGTCGGAAATCGGCGAATTTCTTAAAAAATTATTGAATTTCAAACAGTGGAATTTCAGTTTGAACATTGGTAGGATGAACAACTGACCTACGAATTTTTCAGCCTTCCTGCATGCAACCCGGCTCGGTCTCCTCGGTGCACTCGGTCGGCGCCGCGGGGATGAACACGTCGGGCGGGCCGCACGACATCCCGCCCGGCTACGGCCCGTCGACGCCCGCAACGCCGCTGCGACACCCGGTTACTCCGGGCATCGGGCCCGCGCAGAACACGCCGCCCATGTCCAACCAGCCGGCCAGTAAGTGCCTAAAAATCACTAAAACTCGAAAAAATGTGCTTCAAGAGCTCTCAAAATTCTTTTTTTATGGTCTCCAATGGCGTAAGTCCTCAAAACTCGAGAAATCACAATTGTTCATCTTTTTAAAGTTTATAAAGAAGAAATTCCAGTGGGCACAAGCCCTTATGGGATGCCTCTCGGCCCGTCGCCGCTTTGCGTGCCCAGCGTTGCCGCCCAGAGCACGCCGCCGATGATCCAAGCCCAGCATCAGCCACCCCCGCCACAACAGCAGCCCCAGCCTAGCACGAGTCAACCCGCGAAACGCGATAAAAAGGTATGAATTTTCCCCTGTAAAAAAACTAAAACTACGATCAGAACCTATTGGCGATTTTTAGAAAGCGTCCTCCAGCCGCTCAGCCGCACACCACGCTGCCCCGCCGGGCGCCCAGCAGCAAGCGATGCAAGCATTCGGCTCGCTTCCGGCCCACCCTTTCATGGGGATGCAAACGCCGCTAATGCCCTCCGGCTTCACCTATCCCACCATGTCGTATAATCAGGCGGCATATATGCATCCCGGCTTCGACCCGATCACCTATCAGGTAGCAAATTCCCATCGCCAAACAACGCCGATTTTCAGCAACAATGGTTTCAACAAAACTACCAACGTGCCCAGAATCCCGGTGAGTTTTGTCTTTTTTTAGCTAAGGAAGTCAGCTTTTTTCGAACCGCTCGAATACCTGTCGTAACCGGTTTTTAGATAACCCATTTCGTCGATTTCGCTTTCGAAAAACGGATTTCCCAATTTCGACTGGCTTAAAAATTACTACAAAAACGAAAAGCTGTCATAATCGTGCAATTATCGGCTTACAATTAGTTTCAAAACTACGGAACCTCACGGCAGCGAATTCCGGCTTTTTTCCATCGTTTATCCCAAAATCAACAGATATGCCTTCCCATCCCCTTTAAAAGGGCTTAAAAAACCATGCCAATTTCAGCTCCAATGATGCAATTCTACGGCGGCTACGCCCAGGCACCTATGGGCGGCGGGCAGCCCCGTGTGCCCGGCCCATCGTCAGCTTCCGGTTCCGGATCAGGCTCCGGCCGTCATCCAAACCAGGGCCCCACAGCCGGAACCTCCCAACCCTGGCCGACCCACCAAAATTTTGCCAGCACCCCCACCGGCTTTGCCCCACCACACCCGCAACAAGTTGCCCACCCGCAGTTCCCGGATTTTGCCTCATACCCGGGGGCCACGTGGCCGGGCCCTTTCAATCAGACCTTTAACCCGATGGGCGGACCGGGCAAATGACAATTAGTTCCGGTCTAGCCTTTTTGCATGCCCCCCCGCTAACGAACCAGCACCCCACAACGATGGGCATCTAATGCCCGCCATTTCCCCTTACCGGTCGTGTCGATACGCCACAGATGGACCAATTCTCAACCCCGGCGCGCAATAACGAAATTGCAATCCCCCTTTTTCGGGCCTGTATTTATGAAGCCCTTTAGTTGTTGTTGCATATCGATTCCACTCACTCACTCTCCGCACCACATAATCTCAAAGCTTTTACCGCTCGCCAACGATCTCCACCCACCCCCTTCTCCTCCTTGTAGTGCATTTTAGGACTTGCTGGTCTCAGGTCGCCGCCATTCCCTCAATTTTTACCAACTTCCAACCCGCCATTCCTGCCATCTCGAATAGACTGTATTGTGCCAACCTGTATTTGACGCCTTTTCACGCTCCCCTGGATTGAATGCCCCGAAAAATCGAATTTCTGAGACAAAATGTTGTTTTTGCACGGGCGTTATATCTAGGAGACGCGAAATGCGTTAGATACGGGTTTCCCTATATTCCTTCCCGGTATCTTTTCACCCCAAGCCAACGCGTTCCTTCCTCACTCTCGTGATACGATAAAGTTATTTCGGTTTTACGAAATATGCGCCATACACACAGGACAATACACAAATTCAAAGACGTTTATTATGTACATTTAATAAAATGAAGGGGGGGGTTCGAGTTGTCGAGTGTGAACGGGGAGGGGAGGGGCTAGGGGTGTTCGCATTTGCTGGTCGTCTTCGGGAGTGTCTTTGGTTGTGTGTGGTTGCCGTTCACTTCGCGTGCCGTCTTCGGTTTGTGCGCACAGCGGGACCGCGGCTTCAGATCGGCTCGCATCGTCTTCCCCTCGTTCTTCGGCGCCTCGGAGCGCGGGGCCTCCGATTTATCTTTAATGGGCGTCGACATAATGTGATACTCTGAACGGGCCGGCGGATCGTACTCGGACTTCGACTCGGCGGTTCGCGTGTGTTCGTCGAATTGGGTTGCCTGAAGGTGATCGAATTCCAAACGGGGATCGAAACCTGTTCATGGATATCGTAGCCAAAGTCCGGGATCCGATGGCCGTTCGATCTTTTCGGGAGCAGCTTCAACTCGGCGAAAAATGGGTCGGAGAGCAGTCGATGTGCCGTGATTCTAGAAGGGACATTCGGAAATTGCGTTTGACCGCTATACCGTTTTTTAATGTTGTAGACGAGGATCTTCTCGAGGACGGGCAGCATTTCCTTTGGTATCGACGGCATATGCTGAACAAATCGGAATTGACGGCTGTCTACATCCAGTGCACCTTTTGCAGGCCAAGGTTTTTGCCCTTGCGCACGCGAGGTCGGCCCACTTTCATCGCCTGGAAAATATAGTAAGCGTCTAGCCCAGTAAAAGCCGATTGAGCCGAAAAAGAGCTGAATAAGAGTTCAGCTGAATAGAAGATAGCAGAAAATAGCATCGGATACCAATTAGTAAGGCAAAACAAATCACGAAAAACGGTGTAAACTAGCATATCCAAAAAGGTGCGAGTCGTTAACTTCAAGGCTTCATCCAGCACCTTCACGTCCTCATCGGTCGGGTAGCCCAAGACATTGACGACGACGGCGGCCATTTCTTTCGTCTTGGCTGATGTGAAGAGCGTCTAAACAGGAAAACGATAGAAATCCAAATAAAATTACAAAAAGATAAACGAAAACTATTCGAAAAAATACCGACCTGGCCTGTTGCTATTTCCGCCATGACGCACCCGCCGGACCACACGTCTAAAAGGCAAGTGAGCGGTGTTGGCAATCGTCACCGATGCCACAGGTGAAGCGACAAGAACCGAACATCAGCTCTGGGGCACGATAGGGTCGGGCGACCTGCAAAAGGCGGAATTTCACAAATGCAAAAACAGCACCTGATATGGCATATAGTCGGCCTCGTTGCTGATGATCCGGGCGTTGCCAAAGTCGGCGAGCTTGAGCAGCATCGTGTTCTCGTCAAAGATGAGGTTCGCCGGCTGGAGTAAAGGTTAGGTTTGCTATCTAAGGGTATACCTTAATATCCAAATGGGCAATGTTCATCGAGGCGAGATAGGCGAGGGCGTTGAACATTTGCCAGGAGAGGACCTTAAATTAAAGCGGGATATTTATATTGTATATTGCCTATTACCCGAGGCGGGAGAGGGCGCGTGTCAATAGGTATCGTTCCCTTGCATTAAGTGATTACCAGCGTTGCAACCACGATTGCGAAATTTGCGAATAATTTTTTAATCTAACACCGGAATTTACCTTTTTGTCAATTTGCGCCACTAAACTTGCCCTATCAAGGGCAAAATGGCTTTAGAAACAAAGAAAACTATCTAAAACAGCTCTAAAAAGCAACTTCGCAACCGTCAAGCAACCAAAGCTATCACCTTTGTGTCCAGCAGGTTGAATCCCTTCCGGTTATCCTTTAGATGCCGACCGACTTCGTGGGGCAACATGTCGAGAATCATGTTGTAAGGGTTCTAAATCAACAAATTCTCGCAAAATCTTAAACAAATACCCCGATATCTGTTGTCAGCTGATAATAAAGTAGTCGGAGGCAGTGGTTGTGCTGGATTTTGCTGAGGATCTCGATCTCGGCCGGCTAAACAGGGATTTGGAAGAGCTTTTGAGGGCATAAATTACAAGTTCTCCTTCCTTTTGCGGCAATGGTTCTGTTGACGAGCCTTTGCCCTTTGGTCGGCATAGCTGGGTCGCCCTGGAAAACAAATTTCAGAATTTATCCAAAAGCCTTTTAGCACTTGACGTGTTTGTAGGCGAACAGCCCCTGCTCCGGCTGCTCGAGGCTGATCAATACGACCGTGCTGAAGCGCCCATGCCCGCAGTTTATGGTATCTGAATTCGGATTTGGCAAACGAATCACAAACTCCCATGCCTCCGGTCCATTCGATCGTTGCGTCGGCGGTGCTGGACTTTCCGTGGACACGTTTTGCTTGAAACTTTCTTGGAACCCTCGGTTTCTCGTCTTCTGACATGACTAAAAAAAGAGAAGTCATTGATTTTCACAAGCAAAGCTTACCAATTAAGTGAAGCGATTTGAAAGATGCGCGTAGTAGAAAATGGTGGTGAGGCGAAGTCGGCGTTCTTCATGTTCAAACAAATTAGGGAAATTTGGGCCATTTCCAAGATTCCGTTGATTTATTCAAATTACGTTGCCCTCATTGTCCTTCGGCAGTTTGTATATTTTTCTAGTTAGCTTAAAGGTTATTTTTCCTGAAAAAACTATTGATCATCCAAAATGTCTTTATTGTTATCTTTTGCTATAAATTGTTTTTGTGTTTCAGGGCTGTTTAGTGCGTCCGTTTAAAAAGGCACGTCGATTTGTATTTTTTTTGCTGATTTGTACCGCCTAGAAAAAAGAAAGGGAAAGAGGGCCCCCCCAAAAAAAAAAAAAGAGCCCCCAAAAAAAAAAAAAAAAAAAAAAAAAAAAAATAAAAAAAAAAAAAAAAAAAAAAAGGGGGAAAATTTAAAAAAAAAAAAAAAAAAAAAAAAATTTTTAAAAAAAAAAAAAAAAAAAAAAAAAAAAAAATAAAATTAAAGCCGTACTTCCGCGAATTTCAAGAAGAATTTATTTTTTTTGCCCACTGGTCAAATATTTTGTTTTGACTCTCACGAAACGTCCGCGTAACACTTTTTCCTGCCGCTGGTTCGTCATTTGGCAACATTCGTTGTCCACCGGGCGGCCAGTATACGACTGGCTATTTGGTGTCCAGCGGGTAGTTCCCAGAGCACTAGAGAGAGCCAGACGGGCAGAGAGGCAAGAAAATTAGAGCCAGCAACGTTTCGGACTATCCAAAAAGGGGGAAGCAAACAAAACGGTTGGGCCCCCGGTCGGACGACGTGGATTGGCCATTGCAAATCATCATTTCGTTTTGCTCGTGGAATTGAGCCCCGGCTGTATCGTTTTGGCCACGATTCTATACTTTCCCTACGTAGAATTGCTTTAGATTATTTATTTATCTTTTTAAACATTCAAAGAAATTTCGAAATCTGTCGTTATTTCTTGCCTTTTTAAAATTCGCGTTTTTTTAAAACCCGTTGTACAAATTTTGAAACCTATCCTGCCCGGTTTTTGCCAGAATTTGATGATTTGCGCATTAAAGAACGGATTTGAGGCTGAAACTTGCATTATCTATCTTGATCTTTCCTCTTACCTTCAGTTCCAAAAATGTAAGCAAAACCTTTTTTTTCAGGGAATGGCCAAAGCGGCCTCGGCGAAGGCAGCTTCAGCCCAACGCTCCAAACAGAAAGGAGCAAAAGGCCGCGGCGGGCTGACGTTCGTCCTATGGTTTCTCGGCGGAATCGCGGCGCTGGTCGGTGTACTATGGTTGTTGCCCGAAAAACAACCCGGAGAAGGTGGCGTGCCGACACGCGTCGATCGAAACCGCTTGTCCGCTGCCGAGGCCCAGAAATACGACCAAGGCTACAAGGACCATGCTTTCAACGAGTACGTGTCGAGCCTGATTTCGCTGCATCGCCGGCTGCCCTTTATCGCGCCGCCCAGGTGCAAGGACGAGAAATACGCGGACGACCTGCCGGATATGTCGATCGTCATCTGTTTCCACAACGAGGCCTGGTCGACGCTGCTCCGAACTGTGCACTCGGTTCTCGACCGCACCCCGGCGCATCTCCTGAAGGAAATTATTCTGGTTGATGATTCGTCGACGATGGAGCATTTGGGACCGGATCTGGATAGTTATGTAAGCGGTCTCGCGAAAGTTCGACTCGTCCGCGAGCCGCACCGCGTCGGGCTGATCCGAGCTCGTCTCACGGGAGTCAAGGTCGCACTGGGAACTGTCGTTACCTTTTTGGACGCGCATTGTGAGGCTACGGAAAGATGGGCCGAGCCACTACTTGATCGGATTGCCCAGGACCCGCACTCTGTCGCTGTCCCCAACATCGACCCGATCCAGGAAGACACTTTCCAATATGTCGCCGAGCTGTCCCCGTTGATCGGCGGAT